AATGTCATTATTACTTCATTGGTCATATAAATATGTTATATAGACAGTATTAACAAGTTAACAACAAGTTTATATTGACTGTGCTGACTAAGAATACAATCAGGCCTATCACTATACAAATTACACTTTTAATGTTCGTTTCTGATTACTACACCGAGATACATTTACTACAAAAATTTACACATTCCACTCAATTCTCATGCTGTTTGTTTCCATCTTAATATACTGTGTTCAAGCTGTTTGCACATTTTCGCACATTTTTTCTGCATTTTAATACACCTGGTTATGATAAACATCGTTTTTCAAGTTATTGCAATATTTGTGTAAGACAAGGGGAAAACATGCCTGGCCTACAACAGAGAGACATACTTCATGTCAGAGGAAACCTTAGCAGGACTACAAGTTCGCTGGTCTCATCAACTGGTGCTTTCATATGGCCTGCAAACCTTCAATTGGTTCTCAATACCGATTCCAAATTTTTACTGATACCAAAGTTCTTTTGATGATAAGAAATTTGTATTCAAACCAATTTTTCAATGGTATGGTACCAACTTTTTACTGAAACAAGATTTTCGTGGATACTAAATTTTCATAGACTCATAAATCATTTTATTGAGACCAATACTTAACTGATCCAGATTTGTATTAACCCGACAGGTCCAGTCTAAATTTGTACTTTTAGGCATAATATCAAAATCAGTTGTAAAGTTAAAATGACACGTACAATTAACATTTATTTACAAATATTCTGAGGTTGACTGAAGCAATACATGTCCCCTACTGGTCCTCACAAGCCAAGAAAATATATACTCCTGTTTTTTTATTCATTACTTATTAACATCTTTTGAAAAAACAACATCTCTACTTTTAATGTTAGTATAAGAGCAACTCTCAAACTAATAAAAAATAGAGTTGATCTGAAACCAAAGCAAAACAAAATCATTATGCAGTTATTACAAAGCCATATACCAAATTGAATTTCAATTCATTATCTAAAGTTCAACTAGCTAAAACTCCGTAAAAAAGAAGAAATAAATTTGAAAGTTAGATTTAGGCTACAGCTTGTTATTACAATGCTAGGTATAAAACTTCACCTCAATCCAAAGGCTTGAGAAGAATAAACCAAGAAAAAACATTAAGATGGACTGAGTGATGGCAAATCAAACACTATTTTGATGAAGGGAATATATCAATGCATGTGTTGGTTTTGATTTTTTTTTTTTTTTTAAAAAACCCTACGATGTTATCATACAAGATAATTTTGAAAACTAAATTTTCCCTCAATAGCTAATATCTCATTTATAAACAGGATATTTAACAGACATGTCTTCACTCATCAGTAATAAAAACATTTCACTTGTATGGCTAATATTTTGGTATCTTTCAGGAGTACGCAGCACAAGTGAAGATATCAAATTATCATAAACACTAGTGAAATATATTTGTGAATGTAACAAACACTTAAAAATACTGTTAATTGTTGAAATTTCTTATCAGGATTTCTGATTTGTCAATTTTAGAAAAATGTGTTCTCTGTTTTCATTTTCTGATGCAGTGATTAATCGCCTTGATATGTGTACAAATACATTAGCTTGTACTCAATTACCAGGTACTGATAATGAGTAATCTAAAACATGTTATCTAACAACAAGTACCAGTAAAGTATTACAGTTGAATGAACACTTAGCCATATGTACAGTTACATTAAAACATTACACAGATAAAATTTATTTCTAATTACCTTTTATTGCTTGCGTTGTATCAGAAATAATCAAAACACAAGATGACTCTTTCAAAAATCACATCATACCACAACGTGATCGAGAATATGATTCAAGTAATCTTGACACCAACATCTTGTCAATTTCTGGTTAATGCATTGCTCTCCAATCATTTCTAATTATTGTGATATGAAAATCTGAGGTCTTTATCTCAACTTAATTTCACCAGATCTACATTTCATTAATTGATTCTAATTTTAACTTTCTATGTTTGAGCCTGGATCAGAAGCATTCATTATGATTTATCTTAAAATCAGAACATATGCAACACGGACGTCAATTACAAAACAGGATGGCACCAGGTAATAAACGCAGTAAATACATATTTCACACCAGCTGTCTTGTCCTGTTGTCAAATCCAAACACACATCTTATCCTGAATTTTTTAAAAATCTTATCGACATCTTGAATTGGACATTTATCATACATGAATCTGATTTGATATAAAAATTTTGATATGAAACTGATTTCATTTCATAAAGTGATGTTATACACTATCTACAGAAATCACAATATGTCACAAATGATATTTAGTAAGAACATCTTATCCGTCGTAAAAAAAAAAAATTATGCAGGTACATTAAAAAGTGTACTAAGAATTAGGTCATTTGAACTTATACAAAGTGTTAGACCTACACATATTAACCCTATAAACCTATGGTGTTTAAATTTGTAGGAAGACTTAGAACTTCATATATCGACCCTGTAAACCTCAGATATTTAAACTTGTAGGAAGACTTAGAACTACACATATTGACCCTATAAACCTAACATGTATTTTTGACTTTTTAGTATAAGGCATGTTCAAAACAAGTAAGAAAGCTACCATGGAACAAGAGGCCCACATGCCTTGATGGTCACCTGACTAACTTTATATAATTGTATATACAAGTCAATATAACCGCAGTAATGATATTAAAAACCGTCAAAACCATTATGAATTTTCAGGAGTGTATTATGCTGGTTTTTTTTTTTTTTTTCCATTTCAGAATATTTTATTGTCATGATTTTACTGACAAAAGGAAATGAAGGTATATTGAAGTTTTCTTCATTAGCTTGTATACAAATTATTGAATAGAAGCAGTACAGTGTACTTTACATGAAATATGTAGTCTTCCCAAACAAATGTTATGGAAGGATTTAAGTTTAAACATTTCTAGTTGTTGAGAGGATTTGCAAAATATTAAATAACATGCCCATTTGGGTCCCTCCTGGGTCCCTCCCTGGCTCCCAAGTGAGCCAGACCCATAAATTTAACAATTTTGAAGTGCCTTGCCTAAAGGATGCGAGTGACGAAATATGATTCAAATTCGCATACTTGATTTTAATGCAATAATGTTCCTATTACAGTTAAAAACAACAGGACATTTAAAAACACAACTATCAAACCTACCTAAACTTTAAAAAAAAAAAATCAAAAACCAGGAGTGGTGATCTACAGATAAGATTAACATTATGAAAACAACCAAGGGCAATGACACTTCCAAATACAGATGAATCAAACTGCCATTTAAGACAACACAGTTTCATATCATGGTGATTAAGCCTCCCAAGTTTCAAAGCGATTGGTTGAAAACTAAGGGAGATTCCTCTATAAGAATAATATTTGAACACAACAAGGGGCAATAACTCTTCCAAATACAGTCAAATCAAACAAAACCACATCTCATGGTGATCAAGCCTTCAAAGTTTGAAATGATCACTTGAAAACTGAGGGAGGAGATCTCTGGACAAATGAAAGTTTACAATGGACAGATGGATGGCAGGACAGACAACACCATAACATGATATACCCTCTCAAAACAATCTTAACAGGTGAGTAAAATGTCACATAACCTAAAAATAGTATTGTATGTAAAAGTATTTTTATATTAAAGTTGTGTATTGTTGATGTTGACTTCATTATATTAGATAATTGAACTCATGATCTTATATCATAACTAAAATGTATGTTTTATGCTTCAATGACTATACACCAGTTACCTTCATGAGTCTAGAAACAAGTATAAATCATATTAAGCAATCACATGACTTTTCAGCTGTAGTATTAACTGGTATCAATGTACAATCTTATGAAAGTCAATGTTTTGTTTAAAATCTTGTCATAGATGTGAAAACAAATTCCCCCCATCCCTACCTCCCCCTGTTAAAGGACAACTTGTTAAATCTACAACTGATTTTGCTCTTATCTAGTAAATGTCATGACTTGATTGGTTTCCATTTTCTCCTGGTGATCACTAAGCTGGACCCTCTACCTCTTTCCAGTTCTTCTCCAACATACAATATGTCACAGTTCGTGAAAAGGATCTTGTGTATGCATTACAAATCCATGAATTCTCTTCAAGTGTTTTATACATAGGATGTACACGGATATTACAGAGAGTTTTGGTTGTGATATAAGAACATCTATTCAAACATACATCACGAGCAGGAAAAATATTTGCAGTATATAATGTACAACCTCATTGAGTTTTGATATGCTTTAAATTTTACTCGTACCGGTTTTGAACTATCTAGCAGTATTTTTTTGTGTGCTATAGGATTTCCATATTAGGAATTTCCTGATTCTACCACCAGCTTTAGTGTATAAGTCAGTACACACATCTACCACTATTGTTTATCATTTTCTGTTAATCAACAAAATTTATAAACAACATAAAACTTCCGTGTTGTTTAACACAGCAACTTATCACCAAATTAGGATTGAAACTACATGATACCTTTGTAAATCATTAACTCTCACCTTTTTTCAAAGTCTCTGGAATTTAGGAGTAATTATGGAAAGCTCAGAATTCATGAAACAGTGTCAATGTTTCAAATATTCAGATATTGCCAGAAATCTGAGAGAACCTAAGAATTATATCTAAAATGTTATAAAAGGCTTGATATTAATCTGACATGAATTACCGAAAATTAATCTAAAGCTAGAATAACCCCCTTCCTTCCCCCCACCCCCATGAAATCTGATCGGTATAGAATTATGATAGCAATTCTGCTGAGAGTTTTCCAAGATATGACATTGATTTGGAAGATTTGGAATGGAACAGACAGAGCTGGCGGACAGCAATACATAACACTACATCCACCCCCTCAACACACACTACTCCTAACCTTCAAGCAAAAAATGTAAAAACAGGTAGAGGGGGTGGGGATGGGGGGGGGGGTGGGGATGGGGGGGGGGGGGGGGGTAAAAAACATTTTGATGTTAAAATGACTTACTCTGAAAGTGGTGGAAGTGGTCCCATATTTTCTAATGTTGTCCTGTCCTGTAAATAAAAATATTGATTGTGTAAATAAACAAATGAAAGGCTGATCATGTTAATAAACAAATGAAACACTGATCATGTAAATAAGATAAATCATTGATTACAACAGCTACAATATCTAGTTTTGTTAAACATTTAGATATGAATAACACATAAAAATTGTAGACGAAGGATCACAATCATTTGTAGGAGACCACAACTGTACCTATCCTTGTATAAACCAGTTGTCCAGTGAACAGTGCAAAACTCAGCTAAATGATGTTTGTACATAAGTGAGCCAATCTGAAAAGTTTTGCCAGCTAATATGTACCTTAAATTGTTTCCAAAATCAAGTTTTCTTCATAAAAAATGTATTCAAATATAGATTTAAGAGCCAACTGATTATGATTTACGTTCAGAGTTACAATACCTACAAGACAACAAAACACTTCTGATCAATCCACATCTCCCTACCTCCACAAAAATACCATATCAAAACTGAACAAGAGTCCCTCATCTCTACATATAGGGGATATAATGGAGAGTAGAAGCTGATTTCAATCTATTGAATCATTATCATCCCAATAACAGAACTTCATGGGGTGAACAAAGGTTTCATAAATAGAGAAATTCCTCTACATGGACATTTGATTATGTGGGTATTTAATATCAGTCCTATCTCATTCTATATCATCAGTATTTTAGAACCATTTCCTAAACAATTTCATCATATCAAAATCTATAATTCAATATACCTACACCCTTTAGTCACTGTCTACTCATCTTCACATAATTCACTGGTTTCTAGTCAGTTTACAAGTAATTTATTGAGAGTGCATTAAAGACTATATATTTTTTGGCCGTTGACCCTGTGTTAAATGTACTGTGGTTTGACCTGCATCCTCATCACAGTTTACACTGTGCATGCACGATACATGGAAAAGAAAGCACTGATTAGGAATGAGTAATACAATCTTCAAGTTTTTGTCAGGACTCCAAAAACGGCACGCTCCACTGAACTCACTAGTGACAATACAATGTAATTGAATTTTGTAGAAAGCACAACGAGCGTGAAGGATCCGCCTTCTTGAGACGAATTGGCAAAAACGTGTCGGAAAGGTTCAGAAGTAACACAGAGAAGAGAAGTTGTGGGTAAATATTAACCCAATCAGCCCCTAGGTATGCCCAGACTTTCAGAGTCAGTGGTTGTAATTTCCATGGCTACGTAAGCAAACTCGTAAAACTAATAACTTCCTCCTACAGGCCTAGGTTTCCTGTAATAAAACAAACTATCAAATAGATAGACAATGTAAAATGTACACTTCAAATTGATACCCCTAAAGTGCTGAGGCAGTATTTAATGTACTCAGTAGAATTACTGCAAAACAAAGTATCACTGATTTGAATGTGTGAGAGTACATTTTACATAATATGATAGTATGATTTAACATTAACCCGAACTCTTGATAAATTTCTTGTAAGAAATACTGTTGTAGACTTGTATCTGTGTTACAAGGTTACTAGGTAACTGCTGTAGTATTAATTTGTCGGTAGACAGAACACATTATATAATTTTCTGATATGTCATATATATTTTGTTCTTATATCAGCAAAATAGAGCAGTAAGCATTCTAACTTTAATCTATCAGATTCAAATTACCATCTAATGAGGTCAAATTGAATTTCAAAGTGATTACAGCGTATGTTTATACATTTGCTGAGACATCCTTTGGTGAAAATTTACCTAAAAATATTAAAAATTTTATTTGAAAGCAATGAAAGAATGCAAAAAGAAATAATATGAATGTTTTCATGATATGCATTAGCACACTTCCTAAAGACATAAAATTGTGTGATAAAAGTTTAAACATTTTACATCGGAAGTCTACATGCATATTTACCACTAACTTGATATATATGCTCCACAGAAAAGCATTTAATGGTACAAAAAAGTATGTAATGTAGCTCAGGTACCAAGGGAGGTAACTTGCATATATCACAACTTAGGGTTGTTTATACCAGGTAAAGGGAGATAATCATAACCCTACAGAACTACACAATTAATTTCTGAATTTTAAATCAACTCTTTAGGTAGTCCTGTTGGTAACGGAGTTTAGAACTCAATATAGGGGATAATAAACACTTACAATAAATACTTTCTCTTAAAACCACAAATGACTCTACTGTAAAATCATTATTTATTCCAATGCCTCCAACAGGATTTGAATCTTTTATAAAGTTAACCTCCTTCCCATGAATAGTCCCATTTAAGTAAAGCATCTGAAGGAACTTCCATCCATGAAGATTATTTGATTCTACCATTTCTTTGTGTTAAGAAAAAGCTTTTTAAATTTAAGTCAATTTGATCATTTTTCGCACCATTCATCAGTCCAAGAGTGTAAGACAGGTGAGCTAAAAATCATGCTGAAAAATCTGTTTTTCCAATATAAACTGAAGTAAACTTTACCCCCTCCCCATGGAGAAATGTGAGACCCTGGGGCCATGCCATTCAAAATGTTTCAATCTATGAAGAGCATTGATTCTACCATATCTGGGTACTGAGAAGAAGATTTTTTAAATTTGAGTCAATTTGACACTTTTGGCCCTGACCCTCAGTCCCCTGTGGGGTGGGGACTGTATAATCCACTATTTTGGTTCATTTTAGGCCAAGGAAAAGTTTCTGCAACATTTTATTGAAAGTGGTCCAGGGGTTCTCGAGAAGTCAAATATGTTTAATTGTTGACAGACACATGGCGCACAACGCCAGACAAAGTTGATCACAATAGAAAGAGAAATAGAAATATGAAAGAGGGACGAAAAGAACTCCATGATCTTGTAATATACACCTACAAGATTTCTGACTTTAAATTAGACACACACTGAACTACTATTTCAGCCAATTTGATGCATTTGGGCACCATCTATCAGGGTGCAGTTGAGCAGGAAACCATTTATATCACATATTATTTTTGACCACTGATGATCCCTACAAAAGATACTGGATATGACAAAAATTGGTTTCAGCTTTCAGTTTTTAACTTGAAAAATTGATTGCATTAACAAGTTGCATAATTTTATGGTCAAATTCTCCAACAAGAAAACACATATAAGAAATATATGAAAATGCCTCTAATACTGTCTATGGGCTAGTAATGACCGTAAGGAAGATAGATGCCAGTCAGCAATCTTGCCTTTCAAATCAGATGCCAGTCAGCAATCTTGCCTTTCAAATCAGTCACAAAATCAAACATACACACCTACTGGTAACAAGAGTTTTGTGTTGGGAACAATATCTGCTTGTCTCTTGCCAAAGAAATTTTCATTATTTTTTCATCAAAAATACCCGGTAACAGAAATATGGAAATGGTTTTACTAATGAGTCAAAATAGGAAACAGTGCTATATCTTTTACTGATAAACCAAAGTATATCAAGTTTTATTTAGTGATGAAAACTGAAAAAAGTATATCTAGACAAGATAAATATAAGGGCGACATTAACTCTTCCTTAAATACAATGTCATTAATAAAAATTAATTTCATATGACGGTTATAAAGAATATCATGTTTAAGAGAAATTGGTGAAAAAATTTTCGATACAGTCAAGTAATCTGCTGTTCAGGAAAAACACAACTTCACGTCAAGCCTACCAAGTTTCACAGAAATTGGTTGAAAACCCAGAGAAAGAGATGTATACATGATTAACATTATGAAAACAACAAGGGGCATAACTCTACTAAATACTGTGAATCAAATTATCATTCAGGCAAAACACAACTTCATGTCATGGTGATTAAGCCTGCCAAGTTTTCTGGACATTTCTGAGCAAAGATAAGTTTTTGTAGACGTATGCATGCACAAATGAGATGAAAGAGGGACAACACTGTACATGATCATTTCTCATTAAAAACTTTTGATAGGTGTATAAAAAGATATAAAGACATATCCCTCCATGTGATCTGGAGAGGACAAATGACACACAAGTACATATAACCTTTGAGTATTTCAGTAATACATGTAGACATGTAGTATATGTCAAACCACTAACTAAAGCCATAAGCTTACAAGTTTTCAAGACAAGTTATAAAAATCAAAATAAGCTGAAACAAATATGAAGTAAAGATGAATATGTGCATAAAACACATAATTTAATCAATTCTGCACTTTCAATATTTTTTTTCAAAAGAATGTAAGGTTTACGTGAATTTTCTGAGCTTGCCACTCTTCATAATAAATATACAAGTTAACCATTTTCTTTCAATCATTACTACAGATCAAGAGGAACATATCTAGAAATTTAGGAAGATTCCTCCAGTATGTATAAAGTTTCTGAGCAGTTGAAATAACTATCTTCAGCTGTCATGTGGTGATCATGTTTATTAACTTAGTCTGAAAACTGAAGAAGCACAAATACGGACACAGTAGAACCTATGTATGAAATTTGAGAAAGATTCATCACCTCCTCAAAAATTAGCAATAACAAGATTAGTAACAGATACCAGGACAGACTGTTGGATGATGGTCAATTTTAACAGCCAACTGTCTGATGATAGCAGTGAAAAACAATACTGTGTCGGGTGTCCTACATCTCACATGAAATGGAAGGTCATGTAAGACTGTTGTATAATTATATCAAGTCTTGTATATCTTGTGACAACATGCCATTAGAAGTATTGTTATGTCAAGGATGACACAACACTGATAACAGTAGATACATCATAACAATGGGATGACACTGGTAACTGGCTAGTTATGACACTAATATCTGGGGAGAAATTGTAAGATACGAAGTCAAGTCATTCTCTAGATATGTATTTTGTATGCTTAATCGATTAATAAAGTTTTTGCTTCAGATGAAAAAGGAAGAGAATTGAAACAGGATTTTGATACGCACCATAATGAGGTTGAAGTGTTGGCCCATGAGGTTGGCTGTCATAAAAGCTCCCATACCCACACCCATGATTGTCAGTAAATAACAAAACCATAAACTGTGCTTGATGAAGAAGGCCTCCTGTAAAAAGGTAAATTTTTGTGAAAAAGTTAATTGTAACCAATGGTGTACATTTTGGAATTTGGTGTAATTCTACGGCAATCAACTATCAGAGTGTAATTCTACAGCAATCAATTGTCAGAGTGTAATTCTACAGCAATCAATTATCAGAGTGTAATTCTACAGCAATCAATTATCATGGTATAATTCTACAGCAATTAATCATCAGGGTGTAATTCTACAGCAATCAATTATCAGAGTATAATTCTACAGTAAACAATTATCAAAGGGAAGTAACTATCTCCAAAGACACTTCTAGAGTTGCTTTCTGATACACTGTAATGGATAAACACTTGCAAAAATGTATATCAAATGGAAAATGTCTGAAATTTTCTAAAATCTACAAACACATATATGTTATACCAAAAATCATGTTTCATAAATATTTTTATTGTCAGGCTTTCCTTCCACCAAGACCTAAGTGGGTAGCATAAAAATGTTAATAACAAGATAATAAGGCTGATTACAGTCCCTGATTCACACGCCGCTTTAACAAGGTGAACCTACATCCCCAGTATGAAGATTCAGTGACTAGTAATGAAGAAAAAAAGCCACAACAAACTTTTACTTTGGTGTAGGTCAAAGCTCAAAATATAGGTCAGAGTGATCTACTTTTGATACATGACACATTGTGTCATCTAAGTGAACCTTTCCCAAAGTATAAAGTTCCAGTGACAAGTCAGGTAGGAGAAAGAGTCCAGACAAGATAGGGTGAAAAGATGCACAGACACAATGCAAAATGAACGCAAATTTAGAGTCCCCCAATTCCTGTTGCATTACTCATAACCAGGCGAGGGATCTGGAGAAATTACACCCAGATCTGAGTAATAGCTACCATTTTCAAATTCCATCTTAATAAAAAAAATATCAAATATGCTTGTTAAGAGGTGAATTACCTGAAACTTACCTTATCACAGGTTAGACAAGGAGGAAAGTACCAGAAATGGAGCTGGCACAGAACAAAGGCACTGCAACTCAGTAACAAGGCATAAAACAGCAGCTGTAGAAACAGGAAGTGGTTCTCCTCACCCACACAGTTATTGATCCTAGAGAGAAAATAAAATCATGGATATAAAATCACACAGACATAGAATTTAATTTAGAACCAAAATATGTTGTAAGATATATCTTCAAATGTACAATTATTAAAATCATCATTTAATATAATGTAAATTATGAGTGATAGATACTTTGTTGAATCAAGGGGAATCTATCAACTAAAACAAGGAGACCAGAAAGTAGTAATCATATACAGGTTTGTATTGTACATTTAAACACAGCAACCCCTATATGTTTACATAACAGAAGATGACAACAGTCCCTGGATGTTTACCTCACAGTAACAGAACTGTAATCCCTGGATGTTAACCTCACAGTAACAGAACTGTAATCCCTGGATGTTTACCTCACAGTAACAGAACTGTAATCCCTGGATGTTTACCTCACAGTAACAGAACTGTAATCCCTGGATGTTTACCTCACAGTAACAGAACTGTAATCCCTGGATGTTTACCTCACAGTAACAGAACTTTAACCACTAAATGTATACCTCACAGTAACAGAACTGTAATCCTTGGATGTTTACCTCACAGTAACAGAACTGTAATCCCTGGATGTTTACCTCACAGTAACAGAACTGTAATCCCTGGATGTTTACCTCACAGTAACAGAACTGTAATCCCTGGATGTATACCTCACAGTAACAGAACTGTAATCCCTGGATGTTTACCTCACAGTAACAGAACTGTAATCCCTGGATGTTTACTTCACAGTAACAGAACTGTAACCCCTGGATGTTTACCTCACAGTAACAGAACTGTAACCCCTGGATGTTTACCTCACAGTAACAGAACTGTAATCCTTGGATGTTTACCTAACAGTAATAGAACTGTAATCCCTGGATGTTTACCTAACAGTAACAGAACTGTAATCCCTGGATGTTTACCTCACAGTAACAGAACTGTAATCCCTGGATGTATACCTCACAGTAACAGAACTGTAATCCCTGGATGTTTACCTAACAGTAACAGAACTGTAATCCCTGGATGTTTACCTCACAGTAACAGAACTGTTATCCCTGGATGTTTACCTTTTACCTCACAGTAACAGAACTGTAATCCCTGGATGTTTACCTCACAGTAACAGAACTGTAATCCCTGGATGTTTACCTCACAGTAACAGAACTGTAATCCCTGGATGTTTACCTCACAGTAACAGAACTGTAACCCCTGGATGTTTACCTCACAGTAACAGAACTGTAACCCCTGGATGTTTACCTCACAGTAACAGAACTGTAACCCCTGGATGTTTACCTCACAGTAACAGAACTGTAATCCCTGGATGTTTACCTCACAGTAACAGAACTGTAATCCCTGGATGTTTACCTCACAGTAACAGAACTGTAATCCCTGGATGTTTACCTCACAGTAACAGAACTGTAATCCCTGGATGTTTACCTCACAGTAACAGAACTGTAATCCCTGGATGTTTACCTCACAGTAACAGAACTGTAATCCCTGGATGTTTACCTCACAGTAACAGAACTGTAATCCCTGGATGTTTACCTCACAGTAACAGAACTGTAATCCCTGGATGTTTACCTCACAGTAACAGAACTATAATCCCTGGATGTTTACCTCACAGTAACAGAACTGTAATCCCTGGATGTTTACCTCACAGTAACAGAACTGTAATCCCTGGATGTTTACCTCACAGTAACAGAACTGTAATCCCTGGATGTTTACCTAACAGTAACAGAACTGTAATCCTTGGATGTTTACCTAACAGTAACAGAACTGTTATCCCTGGATGTTTACCTGAACCATGCTGTACATTAGTCTTTTTCTCTTACTTTCATATTTTCATTTGTTTACATGCTTATTTATCAACAATTTTTTTCCCTGTTTAGTTTGCCCTATGCTTTATTGAATTTCAGATGCATGTGCAATATGATGATTTCTTTCCCACCATTATTGTTTGAATGCTGACCCATGTGTGAGTTGCTTATCTCCCTCACTTTACATTGAGACAGAGTTCTGACATTCACAGACCCCAGCTTGATACAAAAGAATTAATAGAACATCAGAAGAATTCAGACTACGCCCTCCACCAACAAAAATAGACATTTGTACTATCCTACAACACACCTACATGAGGAAGTCCAGTCATTCAAAAATGTAGATTATGACATGGTAGTCTGCCTCATTCCCAACACAGGCCTAAAACACACCTACATAAGGTAGACAGTCCCACTACAGTCACAAAACCTACTTACCAAGGGCAATGGTGATCCATTCTCACTACACACTGTTGGCAGCGCCGACAATGGTGTGCTCGATGGGGACGCTTTCTCTGACACTTAGAACAAAAATTCCAAGTATCGGTGTCTGTGAAAGACAAAACATATCGAACTTTACTGAATATTGTATTTGCATAATAAAATTCATTTAAGCTTTAATAATATTTCTCTGTATACCTTGACCAAAATTTCAATTGTTGAAATAGACATTCCAAACATAATTACAACAAACAAAACAAGAGTATAAAACAGATAAACATGAAGGAAACTTTTATGGTAAATAAGTACATGTATCCAATGATACCAGACGGAAGAATTCATGATTACTTACTTATGCCTGAAAGGTCCTCTAAGAGGGGTATTCTACCGGGATTAGTGGTCGCAGATCGAAACAATGCAACAATACAGGAAAAAGCAATGAAGGAATAACCTGTGAATTACAATATAGTAAAACAGTATAAATCATAGGGAAAAACTGTATATGTTAATGTGTTGACTTAATGAACAAAAATTAAATCAGAAAGTAAAAATGATATATTAAAAATTATGTGTCAGCTTGATCAACATCACAACATTATATCATCCTTATATCAGATTATGTCTGTCCATTACTATATCAAGGGATGTTGTAAAGTTTATACAATTACTGATATTTTATCTCTAAATGAATGAGAATCGTGCCTTACCAATAATAAAGATCACAGACACTTGACCATCCTGATATCGTGGCAACAGTATGATAAACAACCCCACACATGTGCCATAAATCCAGTAGAAAGTTGTGAAAGCTAAAGTCAGAATACCCATTGTATCATTCACAAAATGAATGCGACCTAGTAATGGTAAACGTCTGATCAGGATATTGCTGGAATAATCACTAGCAGGAGGTGTTGGTTTAGGTAACTCCATTCCTTTCAGTGCCATTGGAGTTCCAATAAGGATAGCTGTGTCCTCTTCCTTCTGCATATTTTATTATCAGATTGGTGACAAATATATCTCCTGAGATTGTCGAGATGTGATGTGCTGAATGTTATCAGGGTTGAATTACAATATCAGACTCCAGTTGAATACATCATGATCTGAAATGACAAAGTACATTAATGAACAATTATACTATTAATTCTCATCCAATATAACTTTTAATCATTAATATAATCCAGTCAATCCATCTATGATGTATCTACCAATGTAAATCTACAATTGTCCTAGTCTAGGGTTATTCCCCTTTGATATAACTACTATTGTCTGCATCTACAAGAGATTAATTTAGGGACCTATGAACATTTCGTAATAGCCCTGATGAAGCCCTCCCCTAGGTGAAACCAATCAGCATGTTTACAGTTAAAAGTAAATAAAGCACTGCTAGCTGAGGATGTTAGGTTGTGTCGTAATTGCACCTCCATGTCCATATAAATGTGCATCTTCTTGATCAGGTTATGCTTGCTTTCATATTATGGTTTTGTCTTTTTTTTGTTTTGGCTTTTCAGTTTCAATATTTTGTAAAGAACTTTTTTATCTTTCTTTTTTTATCTTAATTCACACATTTTATTTCCAACTGATAACACTGTATATCTTATCAAATTCTAAAGGAGATATTCATTTTCTTTTTCTAAGCCGTATCATTCCAAGCACGACATACACTACTCAAAAATATAATTTTGTTCTTTGCCCTATTTTTCAGTTGATTGCTGCTCTACAATGCTCTAGTTTCCTGCATCACTACTGGAAGTGTTCCCTAGTTTTGTCCTCATCCTTGCATGAAAATTATGTTACTTCAGACTTTAGGCTTTCCTGTTTGCCTGTAGAATGAATGTTAGTCACCATCTTCACATTAGTGTGAAGTCTAGTTATGGCTCTCAAATTCCGAGGTCTAGTTGCAGATAATGAATGAGGTTTCATTGAAATATGCACTCATGCATGCTGAAGGTAATCTTTTTCCTGTGGTCACTATTAATGTTCACACTAGTGATCTAGCAATCACACTCCAGTCAAACACCTTATCTTTTCTATTGGGAAATTGCCATCGGCCAAGTCAAGTAAGGAGGCCTGAACTCTCCTCCTACAAAATATATTACCTTGACAGAAGGAAATTCTTTAAATCACTTTGCTGAAGTTTGCAGTTTTAGTGTAATATACCTTGACTGAAAAGCATTAAATCGGAATGTGAAACTTCTCTACCAATTAGTGTATTTATGCTTCGTTATACATTGGCTTCTAAGGAATTATTTACATTGTTTTGGTAGGAGTTTGAAAGGCCTGTCAAGAAAACAAATCCAAACTTTAAGGGAGTCCCAATAATAAAAAATATAGTTCCAATATGGTCTCAAAATTTGAGTCTAACAGGAAAAGTAGGGGTCCAGTCCTAAAATAACAGGATCTTGAAGCACAAGTCGAAATCGAGGTCAAGAAGCATACATGCTTATAGAGATCGAGGATTAAGTAATCCGGAGTATTGAACCACGTAGCGTGGCCGGAGTGAGCAACGCGTTTAGAAATTTCAGGGCCATGTGAAATTCGTAAATAACGTTGCATGTACTATATCCTGTATATTGAGTCCAAAACTTAAGTCTCCAATCTTCAGGTGGATATTAAGATTGTATGAGTGAATTAACTCGAAAACATGCACAGACCTACCTGTTTTCCAAGGAAACAAACAAGTTTAATGCCATCACAGAAATGTCTTGGTCAGATGAAGTCTTGTTACAGGTGGACTCTGAATTCCTAAGCGTTTCCACGACACCGAGATGAACAATTACAAATTTGGAAACAAATCTTACTTATTCCGAATATTTCACATTTTATATATTGTTGTACATCTATGTATTTTTTTTTATCTGAAACACATTTAGTTTTGATAGATTGATGTAAAAATATTCATAACATTTATATAAATGTTATATGGTGTGAAACACATTGGAAATCCGATGTTAATTCCATTTTACTAGTCGATGCCTTTAAGATTACTACAAAAACAGAGTTGATTGGTGTGCAATTGGACCAAAATTTAGGTTCATGGACTTATAAGTCATGAAATTTATCTTATTTACAAAAAAATTCAAAGGTAGCAATATCCACTTGCATGTCATTCACTCTTAACAGATCGAGAAGAGGTTACACAATCCTATCTATTGAAAATGTACACTATGCCTTTGCTAGTTTGTATAAATGACTGGAGCAAATTTGGAGAAGAAATTTGAAAAAAAAAATGTATCAAAAGATGCAAGTTTTTCTCACTGTCTCACAGATTTAGATAAAGAAAAAATTACAAACACAAGCGTTAAGCATTTAGCACTTTCAAACATGATCTTCAGATGTTTAGGAACGTCAGTTTGTAAATATGTGTCTATGTGCATTTCTAGTTTTGGAACTGACAAGGAAATCAAATTTATACATATTTTTTCATTGTTATTTTGTGAGATACTTTCGGTGAATCTTTCTTAAATTTCAAATATAGGTTCACATTGGTCCCGTTAATGTTGTAGATACATGCATATTCATTTCTGAGGCTCAAACGGGAAAATAAAATGTCAGAATAAGGGCAGATCTTGGTCTTCAATTTTACGGACAGTCAGCATTTGTTATCTACATTGCTTAAGAATTATAAAAGGGATTTCCCCAAACTGTCATCATTATCAAATTCACTTTGTACATTTCCCTAAGACCCTTAATTGTTCATTTTCTAATTTGTAACTAAGATTTCGTTAAAACTATTTCCTTGGGTATAATGGATGGATAATTTTATTTATTTTTATTTCATTTTCTAATTTTAATTGTATAATATTATATTAGTTTCTTTTATTAGGGCCCTATATGAACTGCATTAGGATGGCCAAAAATAATCGGTATTTGCCCATAAATGTAGTCATTTGATCATCAACACTTTTGTTTCTGAATGCATAGATTTTTAAGAAATGCAGAGCAGATCTTGTGCAAACCACAACTCTTATCTGAAATCTTTCAGGGCCGCTATAGTAAACAGTCACTATACATGGGTATTCAAGAAAACTACTACAACTCATAATTGAGCTCTTCTCTGGAATTTATTCCAACTTTGTGTCATTGGTTGAACTAGTGAATTGCTTATACATAATAAATATTAATATTTCTTGATCAGTTGCTATGACAACACAACAGAGGCTTACAATTGGTTGAAGTATCAAGATTGTTCTATTTACCTAAAATTAATTTTAAAGGGGTTGATGTGGTTGGAGGGTAGGAAAGATGACGGAATGGTATTATGGTATATTTAGCAGGTACCTTGTTACTATACATACCAAAGGTTTCCAGAAAATGGATATAATAGAGAGAAGAGAAAAGGGAAAAGATCATACAATGCATATCGTGGACAAAGTGCCAGGTACAGATCAGAACCAAGGCTGGACTGCAGAATATTTGGCACATGCAGATTGAGGGGTTCAGCCGTACTTGTCTAAAACAATGTTGCTGAATATCATTAGTTTTTAGAATTTCAGCATGAAAAAGCTGGGTCAGTGTTCTCACATATTTCAGGAAGCATTACGCTATGAAGTAATGAATGGTATCTTAATTTTATTTTATTGCTTGACAGGTTCGAAACTGTGTGTTTTGAGCTTTAGATATGCATCTGTCTATAATGGAATAATTCCAGACCACCTGTACCGTTTCAACCGAATTAGGCAAAAGCAGCCAAATATAATGGTACTTATAGTACTGCAGCTAATACTCAAGTGTCAGCTATACCATGCCTCTCAATGGAACTAGGTTAAAATGCTATTTACTTTTAAATCTGTCACTGACAGTTAATGGTAATTTCTGTAACCATGGTAAATATTAGCTGCAAAATCTTGCTCAGCTACAGGAAATTTATCTTAATTTTGATTGGTTGAGCATCAGAATAGAAAGTATGAGGTCTGAGTTCAAATCCTAGCAGAAGTACTGAAATAAATAATGACCTCTATTACAGATCAATATGTCCAGTGTAGACCTATAGGTGACAAACAACTAGGAAACAATAACACTTGGAAGACATTTATTGATTTTGAAAGATTTTCTATAATGAAAACAATATTTGATATTCCACCACTGAAAGTGAATGATCGATTAAAAAATTTCAAGATTGGAGTATAAAAATAACATCAATCATTTTTATATATGATATCAGAGTGTCTTTTCTTATACTTCTGTGATGATATGTGGGAAATTCTGGTTCTGTTTACCCAACTCATTACCATCAGGACATCATAGAGGCATACTTCTGCTGATCACCCACCATCTCCAGAAACACTGAGAACTTCTTAGCATGGTAACTACAATATAAACCAGTTTACTTACCATGGTAACTACAATATAAACCAGTTTACTTACCATGGTAACTACAATATAAATCAGTTTACTTACCAACTACATTATAAACCATAGCTATTGCAAGGTAAACTAATTCTGCAATTGCACACAGGTATTTACATCATTTTTCTAATTATGTTTCATTTTCATAAATACTTGCATACTATGCATTAAAATTACCAAAATGAAAGGATATTATTCATATCATTTATTATTGAAGTTAAATAACATGTTTCAGACATTAAGAAGCAGATGAGTTTTCTGTTATTCTAAAACTATCTTTAATTGCTCTCACCTGCTGTCTATTGTAGAAGGCTGGACAATAGTGCCACTTCCACCCATAGATTCCATGGCAGCCTGGGGGAGATAAGCATGACCAATACACAAGTGTATATATATGTAACTAGCATTTTCCTTTTTCAAAATTCCTCATACCTTTATTATGCAGACAATATTTTTGCGTGGTATCTATAATGCAAAAATTATTTCTAATACATGGGTATTTGACCATTTTGGGAGATTTTTTCTCAAATAAAGGCAGAGATGTGTTAATATCTAAGGAGTAATCAAGTGCATCCATATCTAGGGAAGGGATGACACCAGGGATGCCAAACTATACCAAAGGGCCGCTGTTTCAATAAGCAACAATTGATCTTATATACCTACTTGTAAGGATGGAAAATCATTTGAGGCACACGCTCCGAGCATAGCTGCCCCAACCAGGACTGACTCCTCCTCATCAGGTAAAATTAGGGGTAAACCTGTTGTTCAAACGATCAAAATTCAAATGTCCAGGAATCATAATTAATCAAATGATTTTAAGGTGTTTGTAAGGAAAGAATCATGACCAACATTTACTGACAATTGATATAGGCATTAATCAACAGAAAGAAAAATTCTCTTAAAAATATGATTCACTATGAAAAAGAATAAGATGTTAAACAATTCATTTATGTAAATTTTGTCATGATCCATCCACTCAAATATTATCCTATTACTGCTATGTATCCACCACTGATATAGTTGTCCTACCATTCAGCATACTAATATGGCTTCCCAACTATCCATCTACTTAAAATCTGACTGTCCAGCTATTTCCTACTCTCTGTGGGAATTCGAAGCACATAGTAATGAATATGATCGGTGACTGTTTAGTGAAAAGTAACTTCACTGCTATGAATTGCTTCCTACTTAGTGCTCTATGGATTTATGAGTTGTAAGTTTCTTTTTATATAAATATATACAAATAATGAATTACATTGAAACATTTGAAATTTATTTTATTCTTAGTTGTTTTTATCTTCAATTTACCATATATGACCGACAATTCTAAATATAACTATGTGAAGGAAGGTAATCCAATATGGTGGACAGACAACTTGAGAATGATAACCCCTAGAATGGCATGTTCCTGCGTATATTACGCACCCCCTTTTTGACACAACACTTTTTGTCCCAAAAAAGTGTGCACTATATGATCAAATTTACCGTAACCAGCCATCACTTATGAAATTGTGATTGTCCCACTAACCAGCCTCACTATCCAGCCCCAACTTATGGAATTGCAGTTATTCCACTAACTAGCCCCCCACATATGATATTGCAGTTATTTCACTGACCAGCCACTCACTTACAGAATTGTGGTTGTCCCACTAACCAGTTACTACTAATTAATCTGATTGTTCCTAGATCTACCCAATGGTTTATGGCAAGATCGACATTCTTTATATAAATCATGTAACAGAATTTCACCAATACCAAAACCCTTGCACTTTTACCAGAAAAAAAATTGCTGAGGCAACACCGTTAATTAGCCTATAGTGACAGCACTCTATTGTTGATGTTTTGAAGTATCAAACAATATATAAATAACCAGATGTTGATCTGTGTTTGGAGATAGACTGTTCCACTAACATGATATCTGTGATGATGACCTGCACTTGCGAGTAGACAGCGTTTTTACGAAGTCCTCCATACATCCATATAACAAACACTATACCTGTAACATCAACCTGCGTTTGGAGGTAGACAGTGTTTTTACGAAGCCCTCCATACATCCACATTACAAACACTATACCTGTAACATCAACCTGCCTTTGAAGGTAGACAGTGTTTTTACAAAGTCCTCCATACATCCATATTACAAACACTATACCTGTGACATCAACCTGCATTTGGAGATAGACAGTGTTTTTACGAAGTCCTCCACACATGTATATTACACCGACATCCAGCCCCTTCTTTTGCATCTCCACTATGATATGTTGAGTTCCGTACTGCCAAGTAAAGTTGTTCAGCTCGTAACAAATACATATTAAAAGTCCAAACCAATATAGACTGCGGTCTGTCTTCATATGTAGTTACATGCTTTCAGAAATGAATACCTTTTTCAAAACCTTATAAAACAATTAAAAAAAAACACCGAAAGAACAAAGGTAACCTGGTGTTAATGAAACACTGATAAACGTCTGTGATTATGTATCTATCTATGACTGACAACTATGATGCATATTTATTATAATTACCTATATGTGTAGCATGTTTGCAAGTACCTCAGATAGAATACCAATATCTTACAATAATCTCATGACTGTGTCTAACAGATCACTAACTTTATACTTACAGCAATAGCTTGTATAGTAGCTAAATATTTAATGGCAAGGTCATCCATATCATCATTCAAGGTCAAACCACAAATCTGAAATATAGATAACATACCATTCATTTATTTACTGTCAGTACTTCTGAGATACTTCCAACTAATAATCCAATTGTCATTTTTGGAGGAAACTAAAATCTTCTCAAATTTTAGACATAAATAATCTGTGAACCTTCTTTGTTTTAAACAGTTTCAAAAATCCACTAGACCGAGGATGAAGAAATATATTACTTTACAGTATTGTTTTAACGAAAGGTCTATAAAAATAAATTTCTTGGGGCTTGAAATTATAAACACAATCTTTGTCATATAGAAGAAAAATATTGAAATTTAAGTTTTCAATAACGGTATAACAAGGTTGATTTTGGGAGGGTACTAAATTACATGGAAAATGGAAAATATTGAAAAAATCAGGCGTTATTGTCAAAATACTTTCAGTTTCAATCTCACCATGCCCTTCAATGTAGGATCTGCTAAGGGAGACCTGTTACCATGGAAGTCAGGCCATATGTGAAGATCTTTAGTCAGTTCACACAAAGACTGGAGATTTTTCAGCTTGGCTTGTTTCTCAAGGAGTTCATTCAAAATGTCATGTTCATGAATATTTCTCCAAAAGGAAAAAAAATATATCTTAAAATGCATAACTCAAAAGATAACAAAGTTCTAAAGATATTAAACAGGTGTTGATATGATCTATGAATGAATGTCTGGTAGATGAATTTATTTACATAGTTTCTGTATACATGTAGTCATAGAAGTAAACTAAGCTAATCATTCACTTCGTAGTAGATTAAGGAAGAGACAAATCAGCCTCATACACATGTATACAGATCAATATGATCAGTTTTCTTTTACAACAATCAGCTTAACGAACATGCACAGATACTGCACAATATTAAAACTGCATAAAAATACCAATTCAATCAATTAATATGCAACAGCCAAATATTACATGTATAATGGCAGTGATAAATTTACATGCGAGTCCCGAGTCCTCAAATTCTCAAAATTTACATTTTACATTTACATTGTTTTTAACAATAAAACTGAAAAGGACTCATGAAAATTATGGAACGAAAAGAATTTCTGGAAATTCTTAAATTTTACATTGTGGGACCTATTGTTTTCAACAATAAATTTGAGAGGGACTCATGAAAATAAATTGTAGGTTGATCACTATAAAGGTATGAATTTTTTGCACCATGATGAAATCTAGAAGTAAAACTATACCTTTCATGTGCAGCAGTTTTCACATCATGGTAAGCTGGGTGGCTCTGTACGATGAAGTCAATCTGTGAGAACATTAGAAGGGTTTTGTTATAAACTTGATTGACACAATATTTCAGAGGTCAGATATCTTCTGACACATGAGATCAATTGTCAGTACTAAGTAGAGATAAAGGGATCTAGGATATGTGATTGCTAGTAAGGTTTTAATTTTGATGGTCAGCAATCTGAATAATCACTTGCAGTGTGCCCAGCTTTTGTCTCTCTCACTATATATATATATATGTACATAAATTTTGCTTAATACGTTTTACTATCATAATCATGCACATAAATCTCACAAAATATACGAGAATCTAAAATCTTCTACACATGTACAGTCAAACCCTGTTGTAATGCCTCCCGTTAAACAGCCAAACTTGCACACCACCATCATTTTTATCTGAATGGATTTTCCTCCACCTTAATACACTTATTGTACCATCGAACCCCCATACCATCATCTGCTATAGCATTCCCAAAACAAATGGTTATATTTACACTATTTTTACCATTAAATACTGCCAACAATAGTCCAGTACCGGTAATTGTTATTCATAAATCCTATTGTTACAAGTGAATGCCTGATTGACATGCATGCCTGTACACAAGAAATTGCTGATCTGTGACTTGACTTTTGTTGTCCTTCTACAGATAAGTTTAACTACAACAGCTGGGATGAATGAAGCTCACTTTTGCAATCTACTTACCCATATTTTGAATGAACAATGAAAAGACAAAATACTTGAGTTTCCCCCTGTTACCCAATCTCACCAGCTAAATAAGTAACATACTACCTGCAATTTTCCTGTGTTACCCGAGTTGCACCCCCCCCCCCCCCCTCCCACCCCTGTTACACAATCTCACCAGCTTTCCTGTGCTGCTTTGGCCTCCCTCTGTGGTCCATAACCCTGGTAATATAGAGGAGTAGAAAGGCCCCCATACCCCTGGTACAAACAGTTCCTTCTTATTCATCTGAAAGCATACAAACATTACAAGCATCTTAGTGATGCAGAGTAAATTATACCTGCTAGCCATAATGGACATCAGAGGCAACTTTAGATTTGAAAACTTAAGGTTACTATGAGATGAATTACATTAACAACAGGCATTAAATAATTGCCAAATCTTTACACTTTATACATCTCCTGTAATTAAATTTTTGTAATCCATATGACCAGTAAGACCACTGTAGGTGAGGAATTCTTTGAAAATATTAGTGTTTGTCACAATTTCATTAATTCCATTTATTGAGTCTGATGTAAGGCATCACAACATATCCGGTTTTAGTAATTAACCGAACTACATTAATTAGTGATAAGTCAATCTATCAGCAAAGAATAAATGAGTAAAGGTAGTTGTTAAGATAAAATAATATATGTAAGGAAAACTAGATTGAATTTATGTTAATTTTTCTTCAGAGATAACTGTTCTGGGTGATGATTTCACTTACAACAACTAGAGATGTAGATAAGTATTATATGTCTGATCTGTTTTCAAGCTTACAGAAGATGTGGTGTGATTTGGGTGTGGTTTGGGTGTGGTTTGGGTGTGGTTTGGGTGTGGTGTGGTTTGTTCTTGTGTGGTATGGTTAGGGAGTGGTTTGGGTGTGGTGTGGTGTGTACTTGTGTGGTGTGGTAAGGGCATGGTGTGCTTGTGGTATGATGTGATTTGTTCTGGTGTGGTTAGGGAGTGGTTTGGATGTGGTGTGGTGTGGTTTATTCTGGTGGGGTGTGATTTGGGTGTGGTGTGTGGTGAAGTTTGGGTGTGGTTTGGATGTGATGTGGTGTGGTGTGGTTTGCTCTAGTGTGGTGTGGTTAAGGTGTAGTGAGGTTTGGCTGTGGTGTGCTTTGTTTTGGTGTGATGTGGTTTGGGTGTGGTGTCTTATGGTGAGGTTTAGGTGTGGTGTGATGAATTTGAGATTTGAGCTGCCTTTTTTTCCTCAGACTGTGTTTAAATAAGGTCAGATTTACTCATATCATTCACTATTGAATAAATACTTTTTTCAATACTGACAGTTATCAACTATAGAATTAATTTTTGCAGAAGACTTACATTCCAGTGTGATTCTCCTCATGAACAACAAAGACTTCATTCTTCACAATAAAAAGACTTACAATCATGTGACAGGTAGAAGTTCCACAAACAAGGACCAGCCTGTTAGTTATATCTGGAAGACTATCAGTGACCTCTGACCTTGGGATACAGCCCATACATCCTACAAAATACAACATTGTAATCAGGACCAGTGTCTGTGACCTCTGACCTGGAGTTACAGCCTATACATCCTACAAAATACAACATTGTAATCAGGACCGGTGTCTGTGACCTCTGACCTGGAGTTACAGCCTATACATCCTACAAAATACAACATTGTAATCAGGACCGGTGTCTGTGACCTCTGACCTGGAGTTACAGCCTATACATCCTACAAAATACAACATTGTAATCCGGACTAGTGTCTGTGACATCAGACCTGGAGTTACAGCCTATACATCCTACAAAATACAACATTGTAATCCGGACTAGTGTCTGTGACCTCTGACCTGGAGTTACAACCTATACATCCTACAAAATACAACATTGTAATCCGGACTAGTGTCTGTGACATCAGACCTGGAGTTACAACCTACACAGCCTGGAAATCTCAAAAAGAAATTCAAGATTAGTTTTCTGATGATACTCTGAAAGTTGTCTGTGATCTCTGACCTTGAGATATGACCATGCTGCCCAGCCATTATATATAATGTCCTCAAGGGATTAGTGTGATGGTGATGCCTTGAAAGCTTTGTGAACTTGACCATGAGATACAGCCATAATATCTGACATTGGTAATTGTTCATCCCTGCATATTACGGGATGATTATCAGCACTCTGGGCCATTTCGTTATTGAGAAAGAGCTATTCACTGCCCCCCCCCCCCGTGACCTTGAACATAGGTCAAGGTCATTCATTCTATCAAACATGCTACAGGCCCAATATCACAGAGCCTTTTGGTTATTAAGAAGATGTTTAAAGATTTTGACATATTAGACACCTGTGACATTGAAAATGGGTCACAGCCAATAATATGAATAAACTTAGTAGCCCTTCATCCCAGGTGGCTACAGGCCCAATTTCAACACCCTGGGCCTTTTTGTTATTGAGAAGATGCTGTTTAAAGATTTTGATATATTTAACACCTGTGACTTCAAAGTGAGTCAGTGTCATTTATTTTAACAAACTTAGTGGCCCATCATCCCAGCAAGTTACACCCCCAATATCAGCAACATTTTTGTAATTGAGAAGAGGTTGTTTAAATATTCCAACACATTTGACCTCAATAATAAGAACAAACTTATAAGCCTTTCATCCCAGCTGGCTACAGGCCTAATATCAGCACCATGGATCTTTTAGTTATTGAGAAGAAGTCATTTGAATTGAAAAATTTACCCACACAGCCAACGACAGTCACCTTTCCTTGTTACCAGCTAACATGAACTTATCCAAGGCAAACCATTCCCATACTTAACATATAAGTAAAGTAACATAGTGAATGGAGAAAGTTAGGACAGTTCAGGATATAGATACTAGTTTAACAAGCATCTCTTACCATTAAAAGGTGAAGGTGATCAACACACAGAAATAGATTATGATCAGAAATATTTAGCCAGTGATAGAACTTTGTGGATCCTTTAACAACTGTAATTCTGTTTAGGGTGTATTGATTCACTTATTACCAAGTGCTCCAGCATAAGCATCTATCATGGAGGTTCCAACTGGGGTTCCCGCCAACAGACCCATCTCCTCCGCTACATTCTGTGAGAGGCCATTCCCACAAGGTGATCCTGGAGGCTTTACCTCAGTACCTGATAGTAAACAACAATTCAAATGTGTAATGACTTCATTAATTGGCAATGTATAACACTGAAATCAATATATAATACATTTAAAATGAATCTTACAAAACCATTCAACCTGTTGTAATGAGTCAACCCTAAATAATAAATCATTTTAATTTTCATTCTTACAAAAATCAACATAGAGAAACACATTGAAAGCTGTGGTGAGTGTTCGTACCTAACAATTCATATAGGGAGAACTTTCCTGTGACTACATAGATCTTACTGAGTCCCACAACATAATTCATCATGTATGTAACAGTCTTATAAGGAAAGGTTCTAACAAAGAAAAAAACAACTCAACTAAACTGACCTATTGTATCAAAACTTAAAAAAAGATTCCAATGTAAAAAAGCCAGCAAAGGTAATTACCAATCTTGGTGTAACCATTGCTCACCAGATCTTCAAGAGAGATCTGTGAAAAGAAATCCTCGCTCCAACCATTGTTACCATGGTTACCAGCCTGGTAAGTCCACTTACAGACAAGACAGCATAGGGATCTTTAAACAGAGAAAGAAGTTCAAAATAAAAGGGACCATGTCAGGCTAGGTAAAACATCAGAACATCAGGGTTACAGATGAATGATAGTCAAATATAAGGTCAACCAAGAACAAGGTCAGAAGGAATCCCACAAAACTGAAACATCATCTACAGACAAAGGTCAGCTATAAAGGTCAGAGAGACCTTCATATAAAGAAATATCCACAGATACTGGAACAAAGTCATCATTACATCAGACGGCGAAACACTTTTTTACAGAACTAAACCATCACCATACAAAAAGTCCAGACATCTCAGTGTAAACACCATAATATAACAATTAGACAAGGTCATTGTCATTAATTATAATGGATACTAATGTTTACCTGGACAAACTTCCAGTAGCTTTCCATGTGAGGAAGTCAGGCAAGTCAAACAGGTGGTGAGCCTTACTCCAACAGGTGCTGTACAGGTTCTGGTTCAAAATGGAACAACTGCTAGTTATTAGCCGTCTAGCCAAAAAAGCATACAGGTACTTGTTAAATATGTATATAAATGTTCTTATATTTACCAGTACCTTCCATCTGACGATGTTTGCTGCGAATTCCAATGCAAACATTAATAATAACCTCAGGTAAGTCATAACAAGGCAACAGGTGTGATCCCGGTAAGTCATAATAATGAGATAGGTGTGATCCAGGTAAGTCATAACAATGAGACAGATGTGATGTATATAAGTCATAGCAATGACACAGAACAAGAACAAAAGATCCCAGAGGGATCTTGGTGCCCATCATTGTTTGATCTTCATATGCTCTTTGAAAGATGGATCTTTCCCCTTCTTTTTTTCTATTCTCTTCTCAGTTTTTGCTCTTAATGCTAAGACATTTGAATATTCCTTTGTGATAATAAATGATAATCTTTACCTGCTAAATCAAAAATGGACACCTGGAAGCCATTTTGATTCTTCTGATCGGTCCTAAAAGCAAATGAGCACAAAAAGAGACCAAAGGAAACATACATATGAAATTTGGGAGATACCCATTTAGTACTTCTTCAGAAAAAGCAATAACAATTTTTACAAGGCAAAATCCAAGATGGCTGCCTGTCGGCCATTTTGTGTTTTTGATCAGTCACAAAATCAAACAGGCACAACTAGAGACAAGGAGAACCTACATATGCAATTTGAGAAAGATCCATCCAGGACAGAAATAGCAATAACAAAAATTGTTTACAGACAGACCGGCAACAGACCAGGACAAAGCGATTTGATAATGGTGGGCTAAAAAAACAAGAAATTTTGTGTTATTGTTATTCAATTTTTTTCAGATTCCCATCAGTAATATAGAAAACATGCAGAATTTTCAGAAAATTCTGTAATATTTTTAACCTCTTGCTGATATTTTGTTGTAAATATCATGTTACATCTGCATGATATAAAACAGTTTTTAACTAATAATGATAAACTCTCTTTCAACCTACATAATATGATGGGGCCTTTGTTCCTATTCATTATAACTAGAACTGTGTTTGAAGACACATGGTCATGCTAAAGCAAGTAGTTGTTTATTAGTTCCAGGATCTATTTAGCTTGAACAAAGCTAGGAATCAGTCTCTATTTTAGCTGAATAAGAAGTATGTTAGTAACAGTACAAATACTGACAACAGAAGGATAATTATAATGGTTAATGATTAAGTATTTAAGTTGGTTTGTCTACTTCATATTGCTTTCGGAAACAACGTAATACACAAACTAACGAAATCTGTATAAAACAACATTTTTCTGATAATTCTGACCAGCTGTTATATAATCTATAGACACTATTATAATTCAATGCTAGTTTTACAATGAGTGTTGTATACACAATCAAATTTGTCCATTTTGTGTTAAATGTTATTACCTCTTTCAGCCAAAGGAGTTTGGGTGCCTGCATCTCTAAGGATATAGTGCCTCCTACATATCTGAGAACATCATGGTTTGTAGCATTGATACGCTTAGCTTGGGCCTCTGCTCGATGATCCATCCACATCACGATGTCCTGCTCGGTTGAACCTAATAGCATATATCAAAATCACATTAAATCTCATGCCTCTACATACATAGATCGAACTTTAAAAACTTGTATTGGTTTTATTATGTTTATTTGTTTGCAGGATTTATCACCCCATGAACAGCCAGGTTCATTTCAAGGCAAAGTCTCTTTGTTGTAGATGAAGGTTACCATACCGAACAACATACAGAAGGCACATCACATGCTGTCAAGAGCAATTAGAGTCTTGCCACAGCCACATCAGCACAGACAGGTCCATTTCTCAGTTATCTGAGAAACACAAACTGCCATAGATAGGGAGCATTGGACAATGTGACATTGGTCTTCACCTAAGGTTACATAGGACATATTCACACAACTGAGCTTTCAATGAAAAGCAGACACTAGAGTTTAACCTTACCTGACTGATTGACAGAAAATGGAGCAGGACTTTACCTGACTGATTGACAGACACTGGAACAGGACTTTACCTGATTGACAGAAACTGGAACAGGACTTTACCTGACTGATTGACAGACACTGGAACAGGACTTTACCTGATTGACAGAAACTGGAGCAGGACTTTACCTGACTGATTGACAGACACTGGAGCGGGACTTTACCTGACTGATTGACAGACACTGGAGCAGGACTTTACCTGACTGATTGACAGACACTGGAGCAAGACTTTACCTGACTGATTGACAGAAACTGGAGCAGGACTTTACCTGACTGATTGACAGAAATTGGAGCAGGACTTTACCTGACTGATTAACAGAAATTGGAGCAGGACTTTACCTGACTGATTGACAGACACTGGAGCAGGACTTTACCTGACTGATTGACAGACACTGGAGCAGGACTTTACCTGATTGATTGACAGAAATTGGAGCAGGACTTTACCTGACTGATTGACAGAAACTGGAGCAGGACTTTACCTGACTGATTGACAGAAATTGGAGCAGGACTTTACCTGACTGATTGACAGAAATTGGAGCAGGACTTTACCTGACTGATTAACAGAAATTGGAGCAGGACTTTACCTGACTGATTGACAGAAACTGGAGCTCCATCTTCATCAAGAACAACCAGTGAACATGTGGCATCGAATCCAATCCCATGGATCTCTTCCTTTGTAACTCCTGACTTGGACAGTGCCCTCTGTGAAGCAGTAGTTACACTCTACATGATGCATCCTTCTTAAAGGATTTCAAGTACATAATATTATCCTTAATACTTGTCCCTTATACAAAACAAGCTTAATTAACATAAAATTAATTATCTATCTTTAATTATCAAGATGTCAATTCATTTACAAACTTTAATAAATTAGGGCTACAAACAGAGAAATTCTGATTGAAAATGATTTATATACTTACTTTCACCAGATTACAACTACAGTTGACACAACCAATTTAAATTGAACATTATGATGCAAAATTGATCAATAAAACATTGTATTCAGCTACAAATTCTATTCAAATGATATAAATGCTGATACCAAGCGTTTTTCATCAATTTCTCAAAATCATCTTTTGAACCAAAGGTTTAACTTTTGAGCTCTTGTCAGATTCAAACACAATTCTTTTAAAGGAACAGTTATGGCTAAAGAGTTGATATCTATATAAAATCACATCTGATAAATTGTGTTCACAAATTTCCTGTCAAGATAGTAAATGAATCTTTATCTACCGTCTTTCTAATAACTCATACCTGTACTGTTTCAACTACCGCTGACCACACATCCCGAGATGACTGCTCATAGTGACTTGTCTGTGGAGACCATATCTGTATAGATCTGGTGGCAACACCAACCACCTGGCCTTGACTGCTGACCACTGCTGATCTGACACTCCCAGTACCTACATCAACCCCCAGGTAATATGGCATTGTCGAATGCTAACAGTTGGGTTCTCTGATTTACCTGAGATTAAAAATACAATGACTTTGGTGATCTTGATTTTTTCGCCCACACCATTTCTAAGATACTGAATCCCTGAGGCAGTTCGGTATCTAGTGCCATAGCACCATCACGATGCAATGTTGTTGTCTCAGCATAGACAGACAATTTCTGTGTCAAAAATGATTATTTAACTTGAATATTCACATTTAATTATCATACTGTTATTGACATTAACATTTTTGAGGATTATGGTCTAAACTGACAAATCCAGCATAATAAATGTGAATATTGACATAAAAGTCGATTATCATTTTAGAGACAGAAATCTTCGGTCTAGTCTAGATACTGTAGTACATATGCCACCTCACTCAGATACAATATTCTGAAAACAGGCTGCAAGTCACTGGTCTTTCCTCACATGATGACACCTTCTAACGTGACAACCTGTCCGCCTTCATATCAACTCAATTTAATAAATCTTAATCTCAGTTAAAACCAATTTTAGGTACAGACATCTTAATAGCATGATCAACTTGTTGAAGTAGGCCTAGACGAACGATCTTTCTTTGCATTGCCGACGACATAGATATCGAGATAACATAACAAGCCGCTGGTCGGCCGTGTGACATTATTGTGCATATTGCGCCATGTAAAACCTTTAACATTGGCGGAGTAAGGTACCAGTATGTTAATACGAGTGTGTTGACAGTCGAGGCTGGTACCTGTGGGTATATATGGGTATTTATTTATCGCTGATGAAATTGTATCTTGATACACTACACTAATCACTTGCATATGTGTTTAAATATTAAATCACCCTAATTGTGTAGCTTGTCACAAGCACGAAATTAAATAGACACTAGATAGCTTTTCACCTGTTCAACTCTCCACACTGCCACATTATTCAACGACAAGCAAAGGTGTTCCGAGTGGCAAAAACTATACAGTACGTGTAATGGAAAATTCTAGATAAGTCCCGGTTTTTTTCCCGAAAAGGATCGACCCTCAATAGAGACAAACGATTTTGTTTTTCATTTTTGGAGCATTTTTTTTCTTTTTTTAAATATCAATGTGCATTCTGTGGGTGTATGGCATATTTTGTAATAAAGATAATAAAATAAAAAAACAAGAATTTTTCTATACTGTTACCAGTATCATATATATGATTTTTAAAATCAGTTTTATGGTCATCACAGTGACCTCATTGAGATATATTCTATTTCTTAGAGTTATGAGACTGGACGCATTGATTCTCGTTGGTTTGTCTGCTGGTGCCGTTGTCGTACTTTGTTAACATCTGAGAACGTGAGATAACTTACTTGGATTGACAACAGATTCAAACTATGGCAAAATACAAACAGAAGGAAATTGACACGAAGTCTCTTGAAAAATACAAGGAGAATAAAAAAAAAGTTTAGACTGTAATTATATTGACATGTTGATATTTTCTTGTTTTTATAAAATGTCTTTATTTTCTCCCCTTGTTGGGCTTTGCAACTCTGTTGTCATATCAGCCAAAAAGCATGAATGTAAAAAACACACAACAAAAAAGTAATAAAGTTATAAGTTATTTCTTAAAACTGTTAAGTCACCTTGTTATGCTTATTGCTTTTCTATTGGAGATCATTTTCATCTTTTATTACCTAGTAATACTACATGTTCTCAAACAGACAGCATTACAAATTATATATACTTTTGAAATACAATAATTCTATTAATATTTGATAATCTTTTGTGGAGTGATCACAGAAAGGACTTCAGGAACTATATTTTGCCACGAATAAAACGCTTCAGGGCCTTTGTTGCTCACTTGTTTAATCAGCCCCCACCCCTGTCTCAATAGCAGGATACACTATAGCTCTTTATACGAAAGTTAAGTCTCTTCACCATGTGATGCTTAAGGTCAAAGGTGAAATTTTGTCATTCCTACAGAAGAAATCAGCATTTTTCTCCTATTGGACCCCACCCCACAGGCCCTATGGGACCCAGACCCATCATTAATTCAGAACTGGTTCCATTTCCCAGAGTTGAAATACCTTCATCCCTAGAGATACCAGATTTAAAACTTGTTCCTCTGTTTTCCACTATTGGACTCAAACCCTCTTATCATATTCGTATTCACCTTTTATACAAGAGTGATTCAACTTTGCCAAAGGATGCTTCAGACCAAATTTGGATAAAATCCTGCCATTCCCCTTGAAGAAAGATTTAAAACAATTTACTATATATCTGCTACTGGACTCCCACCCTTCAAGACCCAAGGAAGTGGAATACACCAATTACACCAAATTGGTTCTCCTCACCAAGGATGCCTCTGATCAATTTGGAGAAGTTACTTTCATCCCCACAGAAGAAAGATTTTAAAGCGATTCCTCTACTTCCCATAACTGGTAATGTCCTTTAGCCCCCTCAGTCTAATCATTCTAGTCAGGTTGTTAATTCTGAAAACATACGAGGTGTAATACAAACTTTCAATGGTATATTTAATTTGATGTCATCTGTTATCTGTCATCTGATACATCAGAACCATGTACATTGTACACGATGTTTGGTTGTGCTATACAAAAAATAGAACTTTGTCCTTTTTTCTATTAAGATCACATTCACTCTGGTGTTGATATTCTTTCTGTAAGTCTGAATCTTGTTGACCTTCAAACTACATTATCAAAAGTCAATCCTGAATGTATTGATAATCTTTTATCCTATAAAGCTTCAAGACAAAAATTATCTTTCTAAAAATGTCATTTTACCAACAAACAAAAAAAATGGCAGTTGGTTTATACCCACTTTTTTCTTCATTATGCTCAATTGTTAAATCTGGTTCACCTTATTGCATTGTATAAGAAAATAGGATGATGGCAATCCCTTAACACCAGTCTTAGCACATAACATATATGCCATATCTGTGACGTTAGCAAGATACATTACCAGGTCAGTAGATAATCATAGAAGCCAGGGTTCCAAGAGGAATCTTGGTGGCCACCATTGTTGAATCTCTATTGATTCTATGCAAGTTCACTTGATTCCAATTTTCACTCTTCCTTCCTCTTGTTCATTCTTAGCCATTTGTTGTTTTGACAATTTATTTTTATGGTCAGTCCAAACATAGACCATGCACAAGAAGGACCACTTATATATGGAATCTGAGAGTCTCAGTACTTCTTAAAATCCAAGATGGCTGTCTGTCATCCATTTTGTTTTCTTGATCAGTTTCAGAATTGAAGGCAAACCTACATATGAAATTTGTGAAAGGCATATCTAGTATATGTATATGTATACATATGTGTCAAACTTTCCTTAACAACATTTTATTCAATTTTTGAATCTGCTTTATCTACCTGCTTTTCCTTTAAGAATGTAAAAAGAACATTGAATGGTTTCCTGTTAATATATATATATTTCACTCATATAACAGAATACATATCTTTCACTTGTGTAAAATATAGATATATTGTCATACATATGAAACATATATGATATTCAACAGGACCCCATTAGATATCCTCAATTTATCACATTTTTGCCAATGAAATATAAGAATTATCTTTTTTGTATAAGCTTATATCACCAATGCTGTGATGATATGGCATAGAGATACTTTCTAGGAAATTCATCAGAATTTGCCATTTCTCCTAACTGGACATTAATGAAATGAAGCTTGCCTAATTTGGTGTGAATGGCCAATTCAAAATAGCATCATGTCAAACTTACACACCAACACAAAACCTGCTAATTTTTCATTAACATATTTGAGCACTGGTTTATTGTCAACTTCTATTGGCTATAGATTTTTCCTTTAAAAAGTTTTTTAAAAAACATTTCACTGGAATGACAAATTATGACTAACTTCTATTTATATGACTCGTTTGAAAATATAGATATTCTAATTCGGTCATCCCCTTGAATAATATATGATATTAAATCAGAAAGCATCCAATATTCTCTGTATAGCTGTGAGTAATTATCATGCATGGGCTAACTGCTAGATAAAGATGGTAGGATGAAATTTTCAAAGACAGAAATACAATAGTTTCAAAAAAACAACATTCAGAAATAAAATCACAAACGTATTATGGCATTTCATTGTTTTAATGGCCAAATTTCAGAAAATACATATATGACTTTATACAGTAAACATGGCCAATGTGCACGTAGTACTGAGGCATACACTTTTGAAGCACTTTCTTGTTCCTTAGGAATACATGTGTATCACCACAATCAGCCAATCAGTTTGTATTACCAGGTACTCTGCACCATCCTGCATCTCCCTATAAACCGCCAAAGGGTGAATGTTGTCTTGAAAAAGACCTCAGAATATTTCATGGCAATTACGTATCAAAATTTCAACTAACCTTTTATTAATCAGGAGATTAATTTTTTTAAACTGTACTGATTACGGAACACACACAAAAGACTTTATCATGAGATTAATCATAAACAGACTATATATTCTGACTCTTAACATCAATCTTTGGTCACATTCCTGCTCAAGAAGATAATTATTTACTTTTCATTTTGATCAGTATATATTTCTTAAGTCCGAATTATTCAGACATTTTATTGAATTTTTTATATTGGTGTTGAGTCAATAAAGACTGAAAATAAAAAAAAGTTGTTAGAACATCAGAATAATTCGAATTAGTTTCTTAAACCTTTTCATTTATGATACTGTATATTATGCACAGATGGACTGAATTTTCAACTTAGAATTGAGATATAAAATTAACTTTACAGATTTATATATTTTGACAAACTAAATCTGAGCCAGGTACAGTATATGCTTTAAAGTAGGGTTGTTATTTTCAATGGCTCAAACGGTTGAGGTTTTTTTTCCATAAGCTTGAATCAAACTGGATTTATTTTTCTTAGAATTCATCAATTTTTTTCCCCTTGTCATCAAGGTATTTGTTTTCTGTTATTTTTTTCCACTATTCTATTCAATCTTTGAAAATAAGAAAAAAGCAGAACCTATAAAAAATAACAACCTTCAAAAGTATTAAAATGTAATTACAAATCATCCTACGTAGCATTCTAAAACGGTACTATTTTTGTATGGGTACAAGATAATCATGTGATTTACCTTTCAGTAAAATAGTTTAAGTACACATTCACCTATACAGGAATTAACCTCATAACTTGTTAACAGAATGACAAGTTTCCATAACATCCACCTCAACACGTGTGTGATATATCCATATTTTGCAACATCTACTGTGGATATTGGCTTAATCAACGATACATTAAGATGAAATGTTATGTACCCACAGGGCCACTGATCCAGGTACATAAAACATAACGAGCCAATGACAACATTACCAGGAACAGTTTTTCCTATCTACTGCAGCATTCAAAATCCCATGGGCTCATCATAATGTATATCACTTATTACTGAGGATCTTGGCTAAAAATAAGTCATAATATATCTATAAGATTTACCACTACATGAAATTGCTTAAACTACATTTGCATACTAGTTCATAAATAATAAGTATGACTAAGAAGCCACAGTAGCTCAGGCGGTAGAACATTGGCTATGAGCAACATCAGGTGAAAATGGGAGGTGAGCAATTCAACACTCCTTACCCACGGCAGTTAGTGTTCAGAAACAGACTGGTTAGTAATGAAATGGTTTTAACTCTAGACAAGACACTTTAGCACAATTGCTCAAAAGAGCATGTGAACCAATTTTAAGTTACCGTCTTGAAAGTTGCATTTCTGTCTAACTACTTTCACCTGCAATGCTAAGGCCATATAATTTTGCTAAAATGTATCTTCTACTAATTCAAAATAATTCTCTAGAGGTTGAAATAGACACAATCTGCACTCATTTCTAGGAATCTCACCTGTAAAAATATTTTTAAAACTAAGAATCAATGGAAATTTATTTCCATTCTGCAACCAACATTTGTGGAATATCATCTGTAATTTGTGTGATTTCTGTTTAGGATCAGAATGTGTTATAATACAAAAAGATTCCACTAAGTAAATTCTTTGGCCAAAACCATTATAGAAGCTGTAGGTGTCAATGTATGTGACATTATATACAAGTAAAGTCCCGGACAAAGTGACCCAAAGGGCAATCACTCTGATTGTAATTGGTTATTAGAAACTATTTCAGAATGCAACACTTCAATACCTGAAGTGACAATCATTTGTATTATTATATGATGAAAGAGTATTAGAAATTTGCCCCCAATAAGGTGATGCAAATGTAATGTACAGACTGGCGGACGGAGTGAAAACCTATAGTCACCTCTGCTAGTACCAGCAGGATATCTTTTGGTGTCCCAATTTCAGTACTTGGTAATCTAATTGATACATAATAGGATTACGAAATAAAATAAGTCATAGCTCTTGCACAAATATTAATAATTTGACCTAATGACACTATCATGTGTTATCTCAGATATAAAGATAGGTAATATAGACATATTGTAAAAATAGCCTCATCAGTGTTTTACAATGTATGTAATATAAACAAACAGAATCCTTTAAAACCTTATGCCCATTATTGCTTGATATTTTATGCAATTCAATACTGCATGGCAAGAATACTACAAATCTTGACAAATATTCAAAATTTTCAATACTTTACATCTGTAGTTTATTGTTGGGTCAGGATAAAGTCTATGTGGTCACAAGTTTGGAAATATATAGTCATGCCCATGTGACAGTTATTGACCAATATGGCACAAGATAAAGGAAACTTTTACAATTTATAGGTTTTATCAGATGTGAACGATTTCATAACAACACTGCATGTACATGGATTAATCAGAAGTTATTCATAGTGCGAAACATTCACGGCCATTCGGCTGATTTTTGGTTAATTTTAGTAACTGATTGATGTAAGGAAATAGGTTGGTTGATTTGGCATATGAAACTGAACCTGTGACAAAGGAAGTTACCCCATGGACAATATTAAATTCACACAGGGAGGTGAGTCTATGTTCTTACAATATCTTTGACCAATATAAAGCTACTAATTCCTACATATCTAAGTCATACATCTAAACAGCTTATTTGAAACAGGTCAATGAATACTTGTCATGTAAACTTCCCTCTCATTAAGTTTCCTGGTCTCTTCAGCCATTGGCTGTTAATTTCCCTCCATTCAGTGCTCTAACCTCTTCAGCCATTGGCTGTTAATTTCCCTCCATTCAGTGCCCTAACCTCTTCAGCCATTGGCTGTTAACTTCCCTCCATTCAGTGCCTTAACCTCTTCAGCCATTGGCTGTTAATTTCCCTCCATTCAGTGCCCTAACCTCTTCAGACATTGGCTGTTAACTTCCCTCCATTCAGTGCCCTGACCTCTTCAGCCATTGGCTGTTAACTTCCCTCCATTCAGTGCCCTAACCTCTTCAGCCATTGGCTGTTAACTTCCCTCCATTAAGTGCCCTGACCTCTTCAGACATTGGCTGTTAACTTCCCTCCATTTAGTGCCCTTAAATAACTTGCTGTAAAGAGCCCTTTGAATCAGAGCCAGAACACTGTAATCCTTTGCTGTTAACTGCCCTGCTAGTCAGTGCCCCACTTCAGTAATCATGTTACAGGGTCATTAAAGTTACTGTAATCACTGTATTAAGTTATCGTATTGTTTCTTCGTTTATAAGTACTTTTATTCACCCGAAACAAATCCTGTACTTACATATCAATTAAAATGAGGGCACTATTTGTTTTTTGCTTACTTAAACAAAAGTTTACATAAAAAGTGCAAAAAATTAATACTGAATGAATGGTGTTAAATACAATAACCCTTTAAAAAACTTAACATGTTGACTAATATTATTGCATCTGAAAATATGTGTAATTTGTTCCATCAGTCATAAATTATTCAATACAAGTATATATATTGATGGTAACTCATTAATGAACATTTAACAAAGCATTAGTATAAATAAACTAAATAATGCATGTTGGTAAAGTCTTCCCTGCAAGAGAAGTTAACCAGAGCCAAATATGAAAATCCTTTCATCAGGAAACTTTTGTTAAATTGACTGGTCATGTAGGAACAACTTTGAATACTAATATCACCTCCTTTTTCAACATAATTGCAGTGTATAAAAGACAGTAAAAATGTTTGTAAGTATTTACTTACATCTTTTAGATCATTGCATTTGCAAGCAGGTTTTATCACATTTTACATGGATTATCAACAATTTCTTGAACACCTGGTTTACCAATGAACGGTGTTAAGAGGAGATTCCAGTGTTAACAGATGCATTCACCAATGCCATATCTAAAAAGATTCAATGAACATGACACTGTCACTGAGTCACTGATATCAAGAAGTTGGCAAACAAGTCAGAGTTAACAAATATCTATAATACAGATTAAAGTAAAGAGACCTAGACTTATGCTTCATCCAATGCAATATTCCTTTTGGAGGAGGGAGGGGGGGGGGAGGGTTCCAAAATAAAAATGCGAACAAAAATGATACTGCAAATGCAAGTAAAACAAAGAAAACAGAAGTATTATTGTTGACCTAGAAAGATATTTATTCTATAAACAGCTGATGCGGTACCAATTAACTATCTGATTCAATAACTTGTGACATTCAACCAATCAAAAAATCACAAGAAAAGTCAATTGCTAGACTTATATGATTCCCTCAACACTTGATACAGAGTAAAGGTACAAGTTTCAGCACCTTCTAAGGAGTCCATTGTATAAGTAATTAAAAAAAGTCTTCTATCCATTGTTTGATGTCACATGATGATATCATTCTTGATAACAATGTAAGACATTTCATGTCACCAATTAAATATATTTCAAAAGAATTACTGACTTTCTGACTGAATGCATAATGATCAGTCTTCTTCAACAACAAATATTGGTAATGACATTTGACATCTACTATTCAGATTTCACAATCTGATATTACGGGAATAATTTTGTTAGCCCATTACTTTGAGGATATTTCTTATAGATAATTGTTCTGAGAGGTAAGAAAACATCTAGGTCCTCATTCATCAAATACTTCGAAGTTTGAATTCATGATCGATATAAAATATATGAACAGTCAAAATAAGTGCCATTTTCAGTTACATTTTGGGTAATTAAAGTAATTAAAAGGGTAAAATTGGTGGAATTCAATGATTTTTTAAATATATTTTTCAACGACTTGTCTGTTTTTGTCTTTTTTTGGTGGAGAACAGCAGCATTTTCAAAAACTTAAGAAAATATATATAACAATCTATATATTTTCATATACATATGTACCAAAACTGACCCATGTAATTCAGAAAATACAATGTTGAAATCCAATTTTCCTGTTGAATGCTGTAAGTTTACCATTTTTCATTCAAAATGGCAAAATATCAAATGATATAAGGAAAGTCCTACCGAAATTCTTCTGTAATAGGTCCTACATAAACATATATATATGCATAAAAAAGATCACCGAGATTTCCCTATTAAGCAGAACAATATGACATTGATCCACATATTACATTAGTTCTTAACATCTAAATTAATTGACATTTGAATTGCAATAAAAACATGAAAAGTGATATTTTAGTAAGAAAACTGTTAAAACATTACACATTTTATCATATTTTAACATTTTACTAATATATGATTTAATTTCAATTCAATACACCTAACCTTCATTTGTAGATCAGAAAGTGAAACATTTTAGTAAGTATGAAGGGAGTGTTGGGGTATAATAGTTACGCATGACCTGAAGCACTAAAACAGTATTTGACAGGATAAACATCAGTTGTTTGAAAGACGATTATTTGAATTGTTGCCAAACTCTTGTGAAGTCTTCATGAACCTGTCTCCAATGTGTTCCATTCCACAAACTCTTAGGGACTTGCTCTGCTTTGCATTGACAAATATTTAAATGCCCAGTTCTCTGTTATCAATGAACATTCAATTCTCCAGTTCTTAGTCCATGATGAATATTCAAGCATTTAGTTGTCAGTCAACGATGAATATATTCAAACGTTCAGTTTTCAGTCGGACTCTGACCTGACAGTTAAGGATGATGATGTACAACTTTCTGATGACACTACAAAAAGGGAAAATAATAATAAATATCATAGATTTTAAATGTTTAATGCTTATTTCAAGGAAAGTTAGTAAACTTTTGAGAGACTTGAAATGTCCCCATTCTCATGCAAATTAGTGTAATTGTTTGTTAAATTTCTATTAAAGTGACAGAAGTAAACCTAGACACACCATAATTTATGGAATGTAATGTCTTATATACATATACATATATGTTTATTAATAATAGTGATCATGACCTTTGCACAAAGATCCAAAACATGTTGAGACATTGTCTGGTTATATCTGTGCTAGTTACATCAATATCTAAAACCCCTATCAAGGATATTCACCTAGAGTGAGAAAAGCTAAATTTGTGATGTGTAATACAGACAAATATAAATAAAGTAATACTTTGTTTTACTAATATGTAAACACAAAAACTTACCATCAGTTTCAGGGTCTAGCACACTGCTATCCGACTCTTCTCTCTTTGTGTTACATGGTGTTACTGATGACTCATCTGAAGACCTGTAAACAGACAAATCACAATAACACACTGATGGCCATGAAACCAACTGTACAGTAACAGGAGAATAAATTTGATTTTGTTTTAAAGTCAACATCTCATACGTCATAGCAGTCCTAACATATTACCTGATAATTCTTCAGTCGCAACACAGTTCATAAACACTGTTTTATGGCATCTTCTTTATGATAACACAACAAAATCTTTTTGGGGTAGTTTCTACTACTTCATAGATTATTCTTCTGTTTAATAAATGAATAACATAATGAAGGAGGTAGTTTTCCTTTATATAAAAAATGCATTTTTTTTTTATTTTTTTGTGTTTATGAAGAATTTTAATGCTTGAATACCTCTTTCAGGAAATAATTTACCTGCGTGATGTATGGTAAAAATGTAAAATTTAGTGTGGTTAATTTACAGCAAAAGCCACCATATAACATGTTTCATCTTATAACTGAATACCTACATTCCATGTGTCTTCAAAAATATTATGTTGAGTGTTACCACACTTCAGTCTTTCTTGCACACATTCACAGCTATCATAAAGGCATTAAATGGATATCACTTATACACATTTTGTGTAAATGTAATTCCTTTTTGTTTTATTATGTTTTATTAGTAAGGATTTTATACCACAAATTCTTACATTAGGAGTGTTGGATCACCCATTATTTATTATTATACACATTTCGTGTAAATGTTATGGTGATTTTATCATATGATTTGTCGTTAACATTATCATTGTATCACAAAGTCCAAAACATGCACAATGGAAAATTTTTAACTCTGTGGAAGCTCACTATAGAATTATTACCTGTCCAGGCAAAGTGATACAATAAACTAATATGCATTATCTTATCATTCTAAGAAATAAACACTACATAACAGCACATTGTTTATCTGATAGTGAATAGCAAATTAACCTCTTTATCACATTTTCACAGTGTTTTGAAGTGGGGAACAGTTCATGCTTATTTTTCCTTACTCAAGGAAACTGACCATGTTGATGGAGTTACTGAAATTTTTGGTTTTTATCTGAACTACAGAGATTATAATAGTCTACAGAACGTTAAGGGTAGGTGCATCTGTTTTTTTTATATTAGTTGAATAATTACCTTGGTAAAATAAATCCTGATGTGTGAACCAGAATTAAAGAAGTAGACAATATCTACTATATAGTATACCTTGCTTTTTTACAGCTTGATTCATCTGTGGTGGAATCAGATTCTGCTTTCCGTTTTTCTGTTCCCTTGTTATCCTTCGCCGGTTCTTCTCGCATTCTCAGCTGTTGTATCCGCCAATCCACAGCTCGCAAGATGTTCTCGCAGTCCTTTGGACTTGTCTATCAAGATTCAAGATTCAAAGAGAGTCAATTGTGTTCAAAATTAACCATCAACTAAACTTTCAAGTCCAAACCAACTTTCACCAACCGAATACAAGCAAAGTCACCTCTCAATGATGAACAGTACTTTACACTAGTTGTTACAAAGACTTATACCAAATGTAAGATTATTATCTGAAGGCATGACTAAAACTCAAACAAGAGTATAAGTGAAACTGATGCATGCTCTCAAAAAACAACTTTATTGGACACAAAATTTTATCAAAGGACAACAGATCTGTAAAGAAGAGGTTGCAGGCTCTGAATTTGGTAGACTGCTCATCTTCTTGGTATGTATAGTATTATATGGTTTCATGATCCTAGTTTCATTGCAAGCAAAGCCATGTTCAGGACACAAAATTTCAACAAAGGGCAATAAGTGCTACACTACACTTTGCTTTTGTATGATTGATGTATATATTCAATATCCAAGTTTATTCAAGTGCAGGCAAAATTATGCCCCTAAAACAAAATTCTAACATAGCACAATAAGTCTGTAATTGAGGGATTGCAGATCCTAACATCTGTACTCTGCCCATTGCCTTTGTATGATCAATGTAAATTGTCCGAGCTTAAATGCAAGAAAAGTCATGCTCTGAACAAGATATTTTCAACAAAGGGCAATAACTCTAACTAACAGGTCACTGACCCTAAATTTGGTAAACAGCTCATTGTCTTAGTTTGATAAATATATACATGAAATTTCATCATCATTGCTTTACTGTGATCAAAGTAATGCTGCAAACAAGAGATCTTTAATCAAGGGCAGTAACATGAGAATTGAAGGGTTGAGGACCCAAATTTGGTACACTGCACATTGTCTTATTGTGATCAATGTAATCACAAAATTTCATCATTCTTGATTAAATGCAGGCAATTGAATGTTAAATAAATTAACAAAGGGCAATAACTCTCTAATGAAGGGTTGTGGGCCCTGACTTTGGTACACCAAATATCGTCTGAGCATGATCAATACATGCACCAAGTTTCATGATCCATGCTTAACTATGGGAAAAGTTATGCTCATGGCAGCGATTATATGCTCACCAGAAAAATTTTGGGATGAGACATAAAAAACCTCTACCATCCCCATGCTCCTCCCATTTCACTAATAGCAAACTATTAACCTTTTAATTGCATGCATGATTGTAATGTTATCCAATTCACATCATAATGTCAGTGAATGAATCATCAATCAAAAATTACATTCAGTTACACATGGCTGTCAAGTTAATCATAAATAATTGCCATTATGCTTCAATTATCTTTATGCCCCATACTTGGTCGTCCCCATCCAGTCTATCCCAGGAAATAGTGTTAATATCATTACATGGTTAGTTATTTCTTCACAGGTAAGCATCAACTACAGACACATCAGTAAATATAATCAATCAATATGGCGTCAACTTACAATAATGAGAAATACTCTGATCCCGTCCTCTCCATCAGTAGCAGTGATCCTTAGACTTTTCTGACTTGCCTTCTCGATGGTCATACCTGGCCAAATTTTGGTGTTGAGTATTACCCTTAGACTACCTTGTGTCCTCATCACTGCAGAAAAAAAGTACTTAACAATAAAATCTTCACCAATCCAAAGGAAACTGAAGATACACTCTGTATATTCCTTAAAGGATAAAATTAAAAATCCTCAAGCTGTTTATTTAGGACCGATATTAATTGAACATTATGTTTATTCATAAACATTATAACATTATAACATTATAACAATAAGGGCAAAATGTCTTACCCAAGGACACAGTCATGTCAGAATGAAAAATGAAAAGAAACCTACCCAGTCGTGACTGGAACTCAGATGAGACTGGTGACCTCTGATCATTTATTCGCAGCAGACCTCTTCCCCGCTCGATCCAACTTTGATTTTGTCCATCAAATACAAACAATTTACCAGTCGACTGAAAATCCAAAATTCTTGAGGTCAACTAAAAGCCTAGATACAAAGTAAAAACCATCATACAAACAGTTTACCAGTCAATTAAAAGTATGGAGTGTCTGATAGTCAGTTATTGCTCATCATAAGAAGTAACATATCACAAAACTATGACATGGTAATTTCTTATATATATATATATATATTTCGTATATATCAAGTTGCATTTACATGGTTAATTTTAGTATAGACTTTTTCCTGTTAACCTTAATCTTCATGAGAACATAAATGAATGTAATAACATTGTAGAATGATAACTCCTCTGATAACAATGTTTTTAAAGACATAGATGTATGAATCCTAAAAAAAACTTTTCAGTTAAAAGTAGGTGTCTCCAGAAATCTGATCTGGACACTCTAGTGCAATATCAAAGGAAGTCCTTATAGGACATCTTAAACCTTCTGAATCAGTATCTGCTCTTTTTTTTTTTTTATCTTTTTCTAGAGACAGATGGAAAAAGAATAATGTTAGTAATATTTCAACAAATGTCACTTTACTTTTGTCCTATTGGAGTGTTAATCTCACTTCACCTTTGGCCTCCTCAAGTGTTAACTGAACTTCACTTTTACCTACTGGAGTGCTTATCTCAGTTAACCTTTCACCTTCTGAAATGTTAACCTTACTTCATCTTTTACTTACAGCAGTGTTAATCTCAGTTAATCCTTGACAGAGTTCAGTGGTAAATCTACCTGTAATACATTAGACTCGTCCTCTTCCCCAGTTTTAACCTCAACCTCTTTGTACTCTGGCCTTCGATCATGCTTGGCTTGAAATTCTCGTGCCGACTCTTCCAATGTTCTTGCTTTTTCTGAATTGAAATTGTACGACAACATGAATGCCACACCTCAATAAAAGACATATTAAAACTCTAACTAGAAAACACATATACAGCAAGAATTTTCATTCAAACATGATTTGACCTTTAGCTTTGACCTTTAGGATGAGGATATAATTACAGTACTATCAGACAAAACAAGTTTTTTCATGATACAGCTGCCTATGAATTTTACAATTCCAAAAAGTGTCTTGGTGTATATTTTTTCTTAGCTGATCTTTGACCCTTTAGTTTTAATGATACTGTTTGGAGTAGGAATGTTTATTATAAGTAAGTGAAATTTTATCAGATTGCAGCAGTTCTAGGATTTACAGTGGACATTGATACTTGGTTGAAGCAAGTAAATACTATTCCCATGAAATTTCTTACCTAAACATGACCCTGACATTTCTTACCTAAACCTGTAGATTTTGATAATTCAGATTCATCATCCGAGTCTAACTGGTTTCTTTCACTTTTCTTTTCTGCACCTTCGGTTTTCACTACACGGTCTGCTAGATTTGTACCAAAAACAAAACCACCATCTGATGTAGGAGACGTTTTATTACCAGGTGATGTTTGTATACCCTGAAATGTAATATGCACGTGATCTAAAGAGGTAAGGTAAGGGAGGTAACTGTCTCATCACAGTACAGACAACAAAACATTGTTACAAGTAATGAGTAGAAATTCTGGACATAATACTTTTAATTTCATCAATTCATGCAGGAACTGCTTCATAAAGGCATCAATGTCCGGCAGGTATATAGAACACAGTCATGAAATTTCAGAGAAAATAACAATGACATGCTTCCCACTTTCAAATAGCTTAAAGGATTACTCTAATAAACTCTAGTTTGATAAAAACTATTCTCATTTATCTCACAAAACCAGGAGAGTTTAAAGCTATAAGCTTCGTTTTAGTGATAAAAAGTGAATCCATCACATAAAGACATTTCTGACACTAACTAAATTGAGATTATGCTGAGTTTTAATACGGATACAAACTGTTACACGGTCTGTTAGGTTTTGACCAAATATAAACTCAGAAGAGGTAGCACCACCGCCAGCATCTGTTGTAGAGTCTGGTAATCTGGAAATCAATTTTTACATTTGTGCTCACAAAGTTAATTATAATATCCTATCAAAATTACCTTTGTCCATTTCAAGCAAACAAACATGACAGACTTTTACAGAAGAAAACCTTATGTCCTCTGTCTTCCAAAACCAGTCATAGTAAATGATATTAATTTTGGTACTGTTTTACGCTTTTATACAAATTAGGAATAAAATTCTCGGAGTGCTGCTCTTTAACCAACTCATTATCTTCATTGCAGATGCAATCACTGTTTTTAAAATGATTCAATTTGCTATATTGAAAAGATAGGTTTAAATCAAGGAACAGGCCTTATCGGTCAAATGCTGTGTACATTGTATCTAATGGTCCTCAATACTTACTTTTCATTCCCCGACAAGGCAGCAGCAAAGTAGTTTTCTACTGTGTAACCAGGCAGACCTGTAGGATTGACAGGCTGATCACCAGATCCATTGTTATGATTATCCTCGCCATCCACTGTCTCCTGGTTTTCTTTCTCTTTTTGTTCTGTGTCTAAATGACCAAACATTCAATCTTTAAATTGCATTATAGTCTATTCCTTATGTCATTCTACTCTAATATCAAATATTCTACATCATCAATATCATTCAGGTTTATTTCATTAAGACATCTTACAACAAAAAACATACAAGTTTATTCTTTATCATAAAAGAAGTATCATGTAGAAAGTCATTACTGTAGATTTAAATATATCAAAGTAAAACTTCAACTTAATATCATAAACATTTTGTTACTGCCCTCTTAAAGAGGGTTGTCATTAAAAATGCTATTTGAGCTTGCAATACTCACAAGTAAGCATTATTCATCAACAGAATCAGATCAAAAGAACTTTCTATTTTATCAATCAAGGAAGTTAAAAAGAATGTCCCCCCTTCATGCTTAAGTATCAATTATGTTTATCTTGGTGCTAGTAAATTCAGAAAGTTGTAAGATCAAGCTGAAGAAGATGACCTTAAACAATGGTAGACATCAGAAAGTGTGTTTCCCTAACTGGAGCAGAATATATATAACATTGTGTGGTGAATTCCACTATCTCATGTCAGTGAATGTGCAATAATAGTTAATTGATACTTTCCCTCTGTATTATTTATCCTCTACCAAACTTTGATGAAATTTGATCAATGGATCAAGGTCGCTGTTTGAACAAACCATGAAGTCATTCATCCAGCAGGCTATTTTTTTTTACTTCAGGTCTCATATTTTTTTTGATAAACAAGATTTCATTTGACGATTAACATTCACTCCATATTGATTTGAGCATGGGTATAGGTCCAAGTGGTAGTCTTTTTTTTGGTGATAAATCTCACATTGGTGATATTCTTACCCTTCTCGTCCTTTTGTTTCATACTCTGGACTTGGACTGCTAGTGGGGAGGGTCGCAGTAGACACTTTGATGGACTAGGCATTGTGTCAGCCTTATTAAGTATACCTGATCAAACAAATATTTAAAATGAAACCATACAATTTACAAAACATTCAATGAAATTTAAAATCTCTTTCCCTCCTTCATAATGCAAGCTTCTAAAGACGTCAGTTTAGTGTTTGATTTAAATTATCTAATGTCCAAACAACCATGATCCTTCCATATTTAGGCAGCTGCAGCATGTTCATGTATGCCTCCTTGTGATAGTGTGGACTGAAATCTACTGAAAAGCTACCACACGAAATTGTCCAGGCAAAAGGCCTCTAACAGGACACTTCACCCTGTCACATTATACTGATGATAGGCAAACCACGACTTACACTACCACACGGAATTGTCCAATCAAAAGGCCTCCAACAGGACACTCCACTCAGTCATATTATACTGATGATAGGTAAACCATTACTTACACTACCACATGGAATTGTCCAATCAAAAGGCCTCTAACAGGACACTCCACCTGGTCACATTATACTGATGATAGGGAAACCATTACGTACACTACCATATGGAATTGTCCAATCAAAAGGAATCTAACAGGACACTCCACCTGGTCACATTATACTGATGATAGGGAAACCATTACATACACTACCACACGGAATTGTCCAATCAAAAGGCCTCTAACAGGACACTCCACCTGGTCACATTATACTGATGATAGGCAAACCATTACGTACACTACCACACGGAATTGTCCAATCAAAAGGCCTCTAACAGGACACTCCACCTGGTCATATTATACTGATGATAGGGAAACCATTACATACACTACCACACGGAATTGTCCAATCAAAAGGCCTCTAACATTAAGCAAACCATTACTTACACTACAACAATGCTGAACACTAAGCAGGCAATAGTATCTAATAATTCTTTTTAAAGAGTGTGGGAATGTCTCCACTGGAGTACAGAACCTAAAACTTGCAGGCAGATGGGGGAAGACCATGCACAGTATTGTATGAATTTATCTCCTTACCTAGTCTGGATGGTAACAGAATGGAAGACTTTTGACCTGAGCTACCTTTGTCCTCTGAAACAAGATATTTTTTGGAATTCAATACTCATCAACAATGGTTTCTGTTTGTACATAAAAGACCTCTAGTACATTAATATAAGGACTGTATGTAAACATTATCTTATACATACAAGACATTATGTTTCTGTCCTTGAATTATTTTCTTATATGTTTCAATATTTTTCTTTGAGTTAACATTAAAATGACTAGTGTCAACAAAGTCCATGTATCATAAAAGAATGGATCTGATAACAACTTTAAGATCAAAACATACTATTGGTTTGTATGGTCAACCTTCTAGAGAATCCAGCTGACCTCGAAAAAAAACTATTAAACAAAATTCTGAATGCTGTTGTTATATATCTAGTTGTTCTGGGAATTTAATAACCTGTTTGATGTGTTCTTTATTGTAACTCTAAAATCTAGATTAGTTAGAATTGTATATATCACAGATTCAGAGTCATGATCAATATAATTATATGCCCTGAATCATCCTCAATACTCTTACTCTTGAGATTCGTTTGATGCACATGGAACCTTCAATTTTGCCATGAAATGTTCCATGGGTGCGGAGAGCAAGAGTGATTGTAACCCCTGAAGTATCAAGGATGACGCTGAATTTTACCAATATCTACATACCAATTAACATACCAAAAGATAACTTCATAAAACATGTACGAAAATTAATAAGAGAAAAAATAAAATAAAAGTTTCCATGCTTATCTACCAAAACCTAAAATCTTGGCTGAAGTTTACATAACATCACATTTTCTTGTTTTCATGAAAACATGTCCCTGACATTCATCACTACATGGACCTGTATAGGTCCTGAATATTGTCTGACCAGTGGTATTGTACATGCTTACCGTCAGAATCTGTGTCTCCTGATACTGCACCTGGTTGGTTGGCACTAAATTTACTAGGGGCTAAATGGACTAGAAACAAAAATACACATGTTATGACATCAGGGTGTAATGCTGTTTTATTGTCTATTCATGATTTAAACATCTGTTAAACACCTGTCTCCTTGTTAATACTTTCTACAAACATCTATAAACAAGAGAACCTGTTGTTCTGAATCTCTCAATGTTGACATTATAACTACTGAAACCTGACAATCAGGTCACACAGCCTATCTTACACTGACTTCCTATATGCACTAAGCAAATGCAGTTACCGACAAATTCAAGATTTGAAATAAAAATGCACACATATATACACTGTAGTTGTTTAAATTCCAAGGTCAAATATTTCGTGAGTGTCCTGGTATGCCCTCATTCAGGTGTTTTACATTTCTGTGCAAGTTTTTGAACTGGTATACAGACATAACACATGTTTTCTATGCAAGTCTTTGAACTGGTATACAGAGATAACACATGTTTTCTGTGCAAGTATTTGAACTGGTATACAGACATAACACATGTGTCCTGTGCAAGTCTTTGAACTGGTATACAGACATAACACATGTTCTCTGAAATTTTTATCCACTGTAGAAGTGTTTTCTTGGTATTTAAATTCACATTATCATTATTGACCAGGAATATAATCATATTAACTCCCCTGTGAATACATGAACTATATAGTACATTGTATATATAAGTATCAATTAATGTAAGCAACTTTCACAAAGTGACATCAGATATGTATTGAAATGCATTATTCACCATGTACAATAAAATACATGTATTTGAAAGATGTACACGTACCTGGTATATCTAAATGAATATCATATCACTGAGAAGTACTATCATACTCTTTTTTAAAAAAATTTCATTGCGATATTGGCCATTGTTAAACATTGTAAAACCAGTTTGATACCGAAAGGTACACTGGTGCATGTATTACTATGGGAATTACAGGACAGAAGATATAATCTCTAAACCTGATTTTAATTGTACCTGATGGTGGAAAGTGATGGTGATGTGAGGCAGTAGAAACAATGTCGGTCTTCAAAGCAGGTCGTGGTGCAAATGGATTTTGAGGGGTTGCTGAAATACAGAGGTTTGACACCAATATAATAACATTGTTTACTATAAACTGTGTGATTTAAGACAATATCACAATAATGCTTGCTATAAACTGTATAATCCATGAGTTTATCAGTTACATGCAAACATTGTGCTACTACAATGATATCACATTATTTCATCAAAACTCTTTATAGGAATTGCCTCCCTTCCCTATAATACTCCAAATCTTTCAAATTCCTCACCAAATATGGGGTCAAAAGTGGCAATTAATCTATATGTTCAAAGGTTGAGAACTCCAAGGAAATGACATAGAAACTAACATTACATTCAAAAGACATCAGTGAACATGTCAGAACTATACAAAAAATTCTGGTCTCCACCAACCCTGGCTATTAAATCTTATTTAAATCAGAAAATGGCTTAACATTTTTTCTGCAAATATTGGCAAACTGCAACTGGATTTTGTATGTGATTTAGCATCTAACATCTCAAGACTAAAAATACACTCACATGAAAAATTAAGCAACTATGATATACAATTTATGTCCAGAGGAATAAATCAAGCAAGCATATAGCTATTCAGATTTGCTGACACATTTTACTATCTCTGCATTGGCAACTTAATCAAAAATAAGATGTTGATAAATGTTGATATCAAAAGTGAATATTCTTTAATAAAGAGAAAAGCATATTATTAATTAAAGAAAAACTTTTATCTCATATTTTTCAACAATTTCTATCTCAGTATAAGATAACAACAAAACTTTTCAAAATGCACAAGTATAACAGGGGCATATTCTTGAAATGACGAGAAATTCCCATAAAATATTGTTGATGCCAAGCTCAGGCAGTCAAACAAAAATACAATAACATCATCAATGGCAATATATAAAAGGGTATAAATTCTTGGAAACAATTATTTATATGAAATCAGCATTGTGTGATAAAAAAAAAAAAGAAACATACTTGACCAGGCCTTTGTGGAGTCGTCTACAGCAGATGACTGTAATGATATGATCAACATATGGATTATTTCTGTATAAAAACATCCTGTCACAATAAAATATTTTGAATATACCAGAGGAGTGCTAAGCAAAACATAACACAAATATTTATTTTTAATTTTGAAAGTCAAATTTGATATTCAGTTTTAACATCTATGTACAGTAATACCTGATCTGTATGTTTTTTCTCTCCGCTCTCTTCTTCTACAGTGTTATCTTCTGGTGGGTCTCCTGAAGACTCTGATTGAAAATATACACATTATTACACTAATTGATGCTGCAGAATATTATATCAGCTGATGCAATATCTGCCTATTTCCAGATGCTGTATGCCAATACACAAGAGACACAGGCCTTGTATTTCTCTCTAAGCTACATAATCTGGAAATGAAATGGATCTAGGCATCAAGATTAAGAAATCAAATTAAAAAAAAAACAAAGATGTTTTTAGTTTAAAATAAAAAGTGAAAAAAACATTGCAATCAAGCATTGAAAAATAAACATTTATTAATGTAGCTCTAATAAAAGACAATCAGCTGACCTGTTAAGATCCAATATTGAATAGTAATGACATTAAAGGTAAATCTAAATTTAGTGTAAAGAAAAATTTAGAATTTGATTCTAAGTGTACTGTTTCATTAAATCCAGCTGATTCTGCTGAATGCTGAATTTAAAAGCTGGAGTGATTTGTGATTTGTAAAGGCCATTCTTGAAGGACTCAAGACCTAAGTCATTAGAAAGAATAAGTTCATATTCATGTAAATGTTGTTTGTGTGTTGAATTTGACTTTTAAATCTACTTTTTCCTCTGGGGAGACTACTGTGTTATTTTGAAATTTAATAACCTGTAGCCTGATATTGTCATATGTTCTAAATCTTAAGAAAATGGTCTTCTAGCATTAGTTCCAATCTTCCCCTGACCCCGCCAACACACTCATGTATATACATATGCATAACACCAACTACGTGTTATCGCCGGGGGGGGGGGCAAATTAAATTATTTGAATAAAACTAAGTTCCATGTTGTAATATCAATAAATTTGGTTGCACGTCTCAATATCAATATAACACAACTCAATGCATGTCAAACACCACATTATGGCCATCATGACCCAGCATAATCATGTCAGACGAAGTTGTTTCCCAACTACAATACAGACATGTATTATCACCTACCACCGCCAGTTTTGTTGGTTGTATGTAATGAAATGTTTTATTTAGTTCTTTGTAATATCATCAATCCAATTCAATTCTTATTTAGAACCTCGACTAAGAGTTTCATCGATATTCGACCAAAATAAACATCGACCTAAAGCAGTTATAATGAGGGCTACTGAGCCGGTAGTTGGTCGGTTCGATCTTATATAATCAACATGCACACATGCAAGCAAATGTAATCATTTGTCCTGATGAGTGGTTTCCCTATTATGTATTGGCACTGTCAGCGAAGTAGACATTAATTATTATCATTTAAAATCTTGGAAACAAAGTTTACACTTTCGCGCTCACCTGTGTAAACATCCGCCATATTGGATTTTGTCCATCGGTCACGTGACTTGTTATATTACTTTCGTACTTTCCAAGTAAGTCTTCCAGAATGCCAGACAAAAGCGGTTCATACTGGTGTAGTATTCATACAAACCTGTTTGCATCATATATGAATATAATCGGCCGCATTTAAATGGAGGAGGGGAGAGAACAATCACACAGTTTAATATAATAAGGTGACATTTCATGGAATAAAAGAAAACATTATACAGTGTATGTACATGCAATATAAAAGGTAAAAGTTAGATAGACTCCAGAAACTTCCATAAACATCCATTTTATTCGTATCTTACATAAGCGTGTTTATCTTTACAGTCCGTTCACCATATCTATCAAAGTTCGTGACTATAATGGTATCGTTTTGCATTGTTACAGCTGTCTTGATTTTATAATATATGACTTCCATGTTCTCAAATTAAACGAGATTGGCAATTTTGTGTTGTTATTTATCCGTATTCTTAAACTTATTTTCCTTAAGAATGGACAAATGAAGTACGTGTAGGTAGGGACTGACAGTTAAATTCAATACAAATAAAAAAATTTTCGGGTGTCAAATGTTAGGCCTTCCCGTCTCTTTTTCATATCACCGTTCTTGTATGAAGGGTACCATTGGTCCCGAATTTAGCATGAATCATTTTGAGATGAATGGTTCACAGATGGTAATTTTTAATTTTGATACTTGTAGTTTAATAGTAAGGTTTTAGAAACTCTAACTGGACCATTCACATATTTTATATATCGATTTTAGGATTGATCGAAACATTACCAACTTGGTCGACAGGTGGTCATTTTTTTTTATTTTGACAGTTAATACATAGTTTGTTATTCGCTATTTCTTTGGGCACGGACACGGCTCTTACTAATTTAGTGTAAACGATGTCGTATTTCAATAGATCTTTTTTGACGTTGTGCAATAAAATGTATAATGAAAACTGGAAAAACAAGCTTAAATTTGTATCTAAATGTGTGATTCACTAATGTGCACAATCCATTGAGATCGGCTAAATATCCTCAAAATAGGCCAAGTGTTTAAAATAGGACCATTTAAATCAACAGGTGACAATGAAACTATAGAAGGATGAAAGTCAAATAGAAAACAGTAGTTTCCAATTACGGAACATGTAATTATTCTCAGTAGTATGAATGCTCAACTGTAACGTACGAACGCAAAATCGTCAAGTAAGGAGATATGGGAGGAAAGAGATACTGATTGTGGGTCGTTTTTGTGATGCAAATTAGCGAGCATAAAAGAAGTCCCTAGCTATGAAGGAATTCTCGTTTACTTGCCTTCAATAGTTAACAACAGACCAGATCGTTTTACCACGGACTTAGAATAGTCATTTGAAGACGGATGTCGAGAGAAACAAATAGCAATGGAGGCAAAAGTCAAGTTGGTTAACTGTTATACATGTCTAGTTGTTAAACACCATTAGTAATTAATTGATCAACAGCTCAGAAGTCTATAACTTTCTTCTCTGAATTCCAGCGGTCAAGAAAGTTACCAAAAGATATAAGATAAATTATCATTGCCGTATTATAAAAAAAAAACCGTTTGGAGGATTAAACCATCTCATGAACGCGTGTATGAAATATTGAGTACTTTCGACGGTACTTAGATATGTGCATATTCCTATCCTCTCCCTCTTTGTAAACGACGATTCAGACTCCTCTTCTGCGACATGCCTTTAGTCAGAGCTAAAACTAGGCCAATCTTTAAAAGGTCATATATATATATATATATATTAGTATACACTGCCTTTCAAGTGCGCTACCTCATCTCTTTATCACACTTTCTGCCATCACTTCATACTATTTCCGTTCTCATTTCCTCATTTTTCCTTGACCGCTGAAAGGCTGAAATGCCGTAAAAGTGAACATAAATAAATAAATAAACGAATAAATAAATTTATGGTTGAAATGGAGTGCTTTTTCAAAAAGCAGTGGAGTGTGACATACGGTGAGTCATCAGTACAAAACCTTATCGGGTGTTATGTTGATCAATACAGATAAGTGAGAATTTGATTATTTGTTCAAATATAATTTACGATCGAATGACGTTATACAATGTCAATTGCTTTACATCGCAGTTAGACAAGTACCCTGTACAAAACATTGCCTGGTAAGGCTGACAGATTGCCATCGTTTGGGTGGTTTTCTATGACCATAGATTCAGATCATCGGAGTGAACCATACTAAGTGAAAAGTACACGGAATAAATGGACAATGACGTAGAGAGTGCTGCCGTCATTTACGGTTCAGTAGTTTGAACAAGTACAAGTATTTTGTTTCAGGTAATTGATTAACATTGAAAAATATGAATTTCACCGCTTGTCAATTTCTACCCTCTTTGCAACACATTCTCTATTCGGATTTAGTTTGCTGCCAAACACATTCTTGATACATAATGATATACAGAATAAGACTCAATATTCGCTAATGATACTTCTCCACAAAGGAATTGTACCTATATTCACACCACCAGAATCAGACTTTTATATATGAAATGATAGCTAGTGTACATACCCTAGTATCATTCTTGCCATTTCAAAAGCATATGATTATTATTTTACATGCTTGATTTATGATTGTATTGGATCATTTATCAGCTAAGACAAGTCTGTTTGAATAAGATCAACAAAGAGGAATTTCAACTACTTGTTCAAAGAAATATGAATTACTGAGGAATTAAACACATGTAATATCAAATAGGATGTTTACAACATTTCTGGTAGTTATACTAAAACATACAAAAATATGTATCGTCAGCTACAAAACTGTAAGAAAATTAAGTCTGTAACCATGGTCGTAAAAACAGAGTTTTGTATCAGAACTAAAACCAGTACTAAAACCAGTCTTAGAAGATTATGGTTGTTTGAAGTCTAGATTGGACCATGGATAATTTAGGCTACTACCTACAGAGAATAGGGTACCAAGCACCAGAATAAAAAGAAATGACTTTAAGTTTAATGTAAAGTTTTTATTTGTTATAAATTACATTAAAACAGGTACAGATCTACAATTACTTTTGGAGATGTTTACCAGGTGTGAATGATTACAAATGAGCTAATGGACGAAACTTGACTTTTGGTCAAATAGGAAATGACTCTCTTGATTACTTCATGGTAATCGTATCAGGTTTCTTACTACCAGTAAGTATGCCTGATAGTTTTATAATACCATATAGCTTAACAGCTTAACCACTCCCATTTGGACATTTCCTGGATTTAATTTACATTCAAAATTTCACTACCAATCTTTGGTATTAAAAATGAAGGGGCCATAACTCCCTATTTTTACTACACATAAGACAAGAGATCCTGCCTTCTCAAGGTACATTAGTATACTTTATATGATAGAATGTGGATAATAAAGTCAGGACCAAAACCTGTTGATATTGAGCCATCAGATAAGAATGAGTTAAAACAAAGTAAGCAAGGGCTCATAACAATATACCTTCACTTCCTGATCATTTTCTTCTTATCTAAATCTACTGCTCAGCTAATAAGGGGTTCAGGAGATATCTTGTACAGAAAGTTTTCTTTCAAAAGTGGTCAACACCCCTGTCATTTGACTTTTAGCCTTCATCGATGACCACCAAAATCTACAAGCAATAGATCTTATATGGTGATGTTATGATGTGAATATGAATTGAAACTGTCCATTGGTTCACACCTTGTACACAAGGTTATCACTGGCACACAGAATAAGTGGTTTTTTACTATTGTTCCCTCCCTATACCCAAGTGGTGTCTATAATACAGATAAAATCCTGTTGTGAAGAGCTTTGTTACCACAGTTACAATACAATTTGCACTAGATTTCATAGCATTAAAACATTAAGTAGGAACAGTACATCTTGTATTAACAGATTTGATATGGACAAGAAAATAGTGTCATTTTATTGTTACCAGACAGAGTGTTGGTTGTTTTCCTCTACATTACGAATTCCTGACTTGTGGTTTTGAACAGTCAGGTCATGGTAATGACTAACATTTTCATAAGTCTCTCAAAACCCAAGTGATCATTGGACGGTTCTTGTTTGATCATTGGACAGTTCTTGTTTGATCATTGGACAGTTCTTGTTTGATCATTGGACAGTTCTTGTTTGATCATTGATCTGAAGCTTCTGATAGAACTCTACCATCAGTAATCTTGAGACTGCAATTCACAGAGTCAGTGCTGCCCAAACTTCTGTACATTGTCAGCTGTATTGAAGTGATTCTGATACGGTTCTTGCCAATCATCACAGCTTCTCGTGACCTCATCATGGTAATGATAATTTTGATCTCAGGTGACCAACATCATTTGGTCTGCTACCTCCAAAGACCAACTTTCTTCCGTCTCCAACATATGGCTGAGGTTCTGGACCTTAATAGCACGCAGCTGAGGAATTGACTCTGCATTGGCCAGTTGACCAATCACCATCACATATTGACCTGCATAGGACAGAAATATCAAACGAATAATTGGGAATCAATATTAGTGGGTTATTTTTTTACAACATTTACAATTATGATAAAAAAAATCATTCTTTTAATCAAAATCAACAATTAATGATTTAAAAAAAAATTATTCAACAATTCAATTTGATGATTCAGCCAAATTGACATGATATATTTATTGACTAGACTGAACAAAAGTGCTCTATCACCAGCTGAATCATCGTTAACGTTTGCTGTAGACTACATGAATATCAATTGATCTTAGATTAATAAACTGACAGTGTATGATTAAATATTGATCAACTATTGTTATCTAAGATTGAAGATAAAATGGCAGGACCTTCTTAATTTTACATTTAAACTAACCAATCTTTATCTTTTCCCAAAGGAATGGAATTTTGCTGCAACCTAGGATCTTTGCTGTTCCAGTGCTATCATCTACCAGGACAACATCACTTCTGTCATCAACCTGTAAAATAACACAGGAACTCAGTTATAATTAATTTCAACCAGAACAGTACTTTTTTAGTCAGAAACATACCCCCAAGGAGTAATCATTAAATCAGTATGTAGTATCAACCTGGGGAGTAATCATTTAGTCAGTAATAACAACATAGTGTGTAATCATTTAGTCTGTTTTATCAACCTAGTGTGTAATCATTTAGTCTGTTTTATCAACCTAGTGTGTAATCATTTAGTCTGTTATGTCAACCTAGTGTGTAATCATTTAGTCTGTAACAACAAACAGCAGAGAAATCATATGTCACTTTTGTGTATGTAGTTGAAATGGTGAAAACTGTTGGACCAGCTCAATCAGACAGAGAAAATCCAGGTACCAGACTGGACTGCAGAATATTGATTTGGTACTTGTACAAACCTTGGAGTATCCACTGAGACAGAAATATCAACCAGAGGAGTGATTAGGAATGATTCCATCAATGATTTAACATTGAAATATATAATGGAGTCAATCCCAGAACAAAAATCAACATTGATTTAATACAGTGTACAGTTATCTAAATTCTTGACTCATGATATTGGTGTAGTAACAACTAATGTAATATAATATTAAGTACTACAGCAGCCAACCCTTACCTCAGTAACTGTTCCCTGTATCCAGACTACTGAGAGCTGTAATTGTCGCCCATGGCAGTTCATCTGCCATGTTTTCGTCTTCTTTGTCTGATCTGAATCTTCAGATTGAATTCTTTGGCATGTCCTCAGATCACTGACAAACACCTTCCTTGATGGTAAATCTAGGAGTTTTGACATTCTGCAAGAATTATGCTTGAAATACAGAGGAAGTCAATGTGCAGTGTAACATGACAAAATGGAGTTAATTCAATTTTCCATCAGAATTAACGTCATGAAACATTAAGTCCTGCAAAGGCTAAGGTGCCTTGTTGAAATTGGTCTATTATAATACACAACAAAATAACACTTCCAGTACATTCCCCATCATGTATAATCCAAGGTGGCACTCATAAAACATACATTACAGACGAACCGTTTTGGTTCCAATCCTTATAATCCCCTCTAGGTTATAGTACAAATTTCTTCAGCTGAGCTCTAGATCTCATGACAGAAGAAATATATAATACCGTCATCTATCTGTGAGAAAGGTACAAACAATCTTTGAAATTTATGTTATTCATTGTAACAGAGAATTCGAAGCATAAGTAAGGTCATTGACTTAGATATATCTAAATCTGTGGTAGGAGGGTAGGGGTTTGTTAGTATCATGGACATGTCATTGAGATAATTTTTTTTTTACAAAATTTTACAGATTGTGTGTGTTAGAAAGGAGGTATAACTGTAAGCCTATCAACTTAATTATAAGTGTTAATATTTTCAACAACCACAGTTACATAAAAGTCCATGATTTAACCACTCAAGAGCAAAAAGGATTCTGATCAATATCACTTTCATAAGATAGTATTTTTAATGCTTATCAGTTTTGAGTATAAAAGCTATTGAACCTGTAGATTTCTTCAGAAAATTAAATGATACAGCAGAACAATCTTATAAGTGAAGTTGCTCATTCTGGTTCAAGCTAATTGGAGGAACATAGTAACAATATTTAAGAATGTTTCGAAGTCATAAAAAAGAGTAGATAAAGTTTTATGATTTGTCCTACTTCATTGTAGTAGTTTTGAAATAGGATTGTCTCCCTTGTACTGCAAGCTCTCCCAAAATGCTTGTACGATTGCGTTTGACTGTCGAGTGAAAATCCTTCTCTTCTTTTTATCAACACGTGTACTGAATATATTTTTTGTACTTTCTGACAAGTGGGTTTAGATAATGTTAAACATTGAGTTATAAATGTAAACATCTACATCGTTTGACACATCGCACTTTCGTCAGTTTGTTAGGAAGTTAACGCCATGCGTTCGAAAATGGCACAACACGTAATGAAATACTAATGACATGTTTACATTGGATGGACAATGTGTCATTAACGTTATTTTCACAAAAAGTGTTAGTTTTGTTATTACCCAGTTACCTGCTTCTGACTTGTGGCGAAGACAACGATGCCGAGTAAAATTCATATGGTCTGAAACTATCGACTGCATACTCCTGATTGTCATGTTTTGAAATGACAACCAGGAAAATGTAGTCGATAACCAAGTCACCCTCGAGGGATCTTGGGAGGTCATTATTCTGGATCAAGGCATAATGATTTTCCCGCGTTTTTTTCATTCATTGTTGATATGTAACGGATACATTTACGGAATCTGATAATTATTCATCCAGGAACTCTCAAGGAATAGAAATAACTTTATAACGTGCACCGCGACGTTTCTGAATATACACGCCCCTTTGTTAATGAGTAATAAAAAGATAAACCAAGAAGGCCGTTTGCCGGCCATTTTGTTCACCTTACACACTAATATGGACTAAGATACTTATTCATGCTTGGAATTTGAGACAACGGTCTAACTCAAGTGTTTCTCACGAACATTAGTCTCAGGAAATAGCTGTTTTACCAAGGAGCAAAGTCTGTGCTGTATTAATCCATGATGACCGTCCGTTGATAGATAAGAGATGTACCGACAACTACATTTAAGTTATTGTATTGTTTTGTCACATAAGTTGCGTATAAGTCCCTTCCTCGATACACCAGGTTTTACGATTACTTTCGCTTTCTGAACCCTATGGAACAGGTCATGGCAAAATTCGAAGGCATGAACGAAGTGATTTGATAGGTTCCAGAAAAAACCTCTTGAAATATCATAATAAAGCATAATTGCCAAAATCCAAGATAGCTGTTGTTAATATTTTATTTCCATTCAAACCCAAAATGGGCAATACACAACATGGGACCAATAAGAACCTTAATAAAATATTTGGAAATGTTAACCAGGAAGTCTTAAACATAAAATAAATCATAAAACAATTCATTATTGCTGGCAAAGTCCAAGATGGCAGATTGTTTTGGTATGACATCGGCCGTCTGTCCGTCCGTCCGTCTTGTAATATGTTTTGTAGGAGATCCTCTGAAATTCCTCTCCGATCTCTGAGAAATAAGGAAAACCGCAGTAGTCGTAAGACGAAATTGTGCATTCTATATTGTCCTTTGGTAATACATTTTAAGCTTATTCGCAGACATTTCCTCTATATTTCTTCTACAATCAGGTTCATAGCAATCGATCAAACTTGCTATTCAATTTTCCTTACGTGCGTTTTATCCAACTGAGATTAAATGTTACTTTACTCCTTAACTCCTATGGCGTGGATGTGGATCGTGTGGGGTTAGCTCCGAAAATGTGTGTCTGTACTTTGGCTGCTTCTCCCTCTACCATGGGGTGTTGGAATGGTTGAAAAAACTTTAATATCGTAAAGATAGTGTTAAACAATGAACTTGATCATCTCGTCAAATCTTTATGACCGGTAGGGGTTGATAGCTCATTGTCCTCCCCACCTCTTCATTGCATGTGTTCACTGCATGTGTGTTCATTGCATATCAGGTGAACTCATCACATTCAGTGTATTCGACAAATGTGTATGGTTCACCTACTCTTTTTCACGATCGTATCATTAGGTGTTAATTTAGAATGGTGATTTCTTTAAGTTATAATTTATGCAATTATTTGTAATGATATCCTGAGGGGTTCTAGAGTCGATTTTCCGGTGTTGAAAATCAAGTGTCCACGAGGCCTCTCTGAGAGGTCAAGGTGCAAAGTCCAAGTAAAGGGACACGATTTTCACCTGTCCATATCATAAAAAGTTGACTCATCTTATACAATTTGTCAATACAGATAACTTATAAAAATTAATTGAAGCTTTAAGTAGATGAAGTGTTTACCGGATTTGACAGGATCGGACTCCTACCTAAAACGAATCATTCCTGATCCGGACACGCCACCTGGCGGGACCAACTGTTTTGGTGACCCCAAGTAGCTTTATTGATTGGCCTCAATGAGGAACTATAACTGTACGAAGACATTATCGCGGACACACGTTTAAGTGAAAGTAATAAATCATATTTAACAACCACATATACTGACATGTGATTTGTGATTAAGACCGAGGACACCTGGCTCGTGTTCGATGTCAACTGTTGACAGCTTCTGTTTTACGCATGGAAATTATCTATGAAATTTTTATAGCCCTAATCCGTATTTATCATTCTTTTTGGTTTGATATTTGTATCTATTATATAATTACTTGTAAGTCTGAAATTATACAAAAGACACACAAAAGGATAGCTCCTATTGACGCAAATTGAGAATCAAACACAAAAGAACTAAAAAATTGAATTAAAATATTAAAACCTCTGAGGAGGATGAGAAAAGTCCAGTGATGAAAAAGAAATGTTAAAATACAGATGGGGAGGTGTGTCAGCCATATGATTCAGTAACTTTCGAATTTCCATTTATCTGATAATTTCAGCAGAACGCCATGTATATGTGTATGAATCAAAGTATGGCATGTAGGTTACGTCATACCTCGGGAATAAAAGTCCATCAGCATTATCTACCACCTGCAATTTTAAAGATTGATAATAGATGTACAATCAAGTTGCAGATCGGTTTTTATTACATCGATATAAGCCTGTAGTTCCTCATTTTAGAGGGACGTAGAAAGGAGTGGATCTAATTTTTATACTGTTCTACGTCCTAAACCATCATCTTTTTTTAATCTAATGTAATTGGTCTTAACTTAATCATTTATAGATATCAATGACGGTCTTATATATTCTTCTATTTATGGAAGAACGCGGTCAGAATCAAATATAGGTATTCATGAAATGTTGCGAGTTAATTCATTTAGCTGATGAGATAAGATTCCGCTTTATAATTGGAATTCTCCAAGACCAGAGAATTTCAGGAAAGATACGACTGGGCATGTTAAAACAGAAGGACCAGAATACGATCCACTACATAATATTGCTCTCCAAACAGAAAAAAAATTACGGAACATATGAATGAGCATATCAAACAAGCTGAATACGATTCAAAAGAATATAAATGGTATTCAAACTAGAATTTACAAATGACTGCTCGCATTCTCGTTAGTATGAATTTGATATTTCTTGTATGTCCTCTAGATTGACAAAATTGACAGTTGTCATAAAGCAAGAGACGCTTATCCTTCCGGAGCACATGACCCTTTTTTTAAAATATATCTTTTCAGAGCTGTCCAAGACTAATGAACGTGATTAATGTTTCTTATACCCTTGTGTCACTGATTCTGCGTGAATATTTATTTGCTTTTATGACGATGAAGTCAAAATTATCAGCCAACAAAAGTGAAAAGTGTTATTGTTTATTCTTACAGGTAATGAAAAAAATGAATAAATCACTTTGTATATGTAAGTGCCACAGGGCTATCTGTCGCCAAATTGAAAATATTTTGCCGTAATCAATTGTGATTCAATAGCACGACATCCAGTATCTCTCAGTATTCAGTATCAGTCTATTTATACAATGTTTTATGCATCAAATGATTTATAGATAATGGAATATCGTACACGTATTTGTTAGGGTTAATGACAAATAAATGTACATTAGCTATCAAAATAGCTTCCCGGCGATAAGATAATAAAGGTCTTCGATTGCAATAATGTCAGCATACGGAATGAAGATGCATTACTGAGTGATGAAATATCTATAATTTTAATTGAGGAAAAAAGTTATTATAATGATATATTGTAATTTACTCGTAAATCATGAGCTGTGTCCCTTGAGGAAGAGGTTAGGGTTCGTTAGTATTCCAGATTTCATGACAATGCAGATAAATTGTGTTGCATTCTATGAATAATGCCAGGTGAACGCACTTAGATACACGTATATACAAGTAGTTCGGACTTCGATAAATCATTAAACAACGATGTCAAGAAAAAATGTCCTGTGGTATACAGGTACCAAATAAATGGGCTACTTTGCTTTATTCTTCTTTTTTACAAACTTGTGTGTTTTTTAGGGTTTTTTTTTTGCATTGTGAAAAAGAATATTTGTTTTGTGAGAAATGTGAGTTTTAAATATAAATATTAGAATGCTTTGATTACAAGTACAATTTTTAAGTTTCCCTAAATTCTTGTCTCAGTATCACTGACGAGCCTTGAATCAGCTTTATGATATTGTTTATTACAGTATTTGGCTCTAGTAAAGGCTATTCCTGAAGTGTCTTTTGTCTGTCTTTGTCCTTTGTTCCTTAGTCTATTGAATTTGCATTTTACATCTCGTTTTTGTATCTGTTTAGTATCTTTTTTTGTTTGCGCATTAATATTGCACGATTATATTAGTTCATTTATTGCAATAACGAAGATCTCTCCCTGCACGATCTAAAAGAAATCCACTTATTTTGTCTTCAATGTGCATTTATAATATATTTAATATGTTTACTATTTTTGCAATAACCTGAGAATATTTTCTTGCTTCTGAAGCTGCCTCGATGAAACAGGATGATACAAGTGCAAAGTATCCTTGAAAGGTTTGATCAGATCGTGCAAAATATACACAAGTGAACAGAATCTTCATATTTGAATAAAGTAATACATGCAGTATCTATCGTATATATTAAATACGCTTTGTAGTGAATTTGTTTCGTTTTTCTAGGACTCTCCAGTGATGCTACGGACCAAGCGTACGGATTCTAAAATCAATTAAATCGACGCGGACAAATGTACGATTTTAGTAATGAAGTTAACAGCCTTTAATAACTGAAATCATCAGAAAAAATAATGGAATATTTCTAGTGAAATGGTAAATTATACTATTAATAATATGTCTAGATAACATCTTTTTTCTTTCGTAGTTAATTATTTCCTGGATCCATTAGATAGTGTATAATTTTACGTACCATTTAACCTTGTCATAAAACAGAATAAATCTTATTACAAAAGTGAAAAGCAAAAACAAAATTACTGATGACAGGTCCTAAATTACTTCAACAAGTACTGCCTGGAAGCTTTTCTGTGTTGAGTAGATGTAATCGAACCTATTATACCGAAGATTAGCATGACCAATCTAAATTTAATTGTTTACCTAATATTGACAGGGCACTGAAAGTGATCGTGGCTGTGAACATTAACAGAGAA